AAATGAGAGATGTCTGGAAAATAAGCTGAATGAAGCTGAAGAGCTCATGAATGAGAGCATGACCCATTCACTGTCATGGTCACACACAGCCCTGAGCCACCTGAGACACTCAGTCTGTCAGTCCAAGAGATTGACAAGGACATATTGGATTTGGAAATGCTCAAACTATGAGAAATTTTCTTGCCCTTCAGTTTGCCCCAGAGCAGCAGCCCAGGTCTGTCTCAATGCAGGGTTAATCAGGGCCTTTGCGTGGGTCTGGTTTCCTCCTGCTCAGCTCCTGGCACTGGCATTGTCTGCCCCAGCCACCCTTCCCAGAACACAGATCTCCCTCATCCATCACAGTTCTGACACAGGATCGCTCTCTGACACCCACCCCTCCTTTCCTCCCTTCTCCCATCTGACCAGGATGGATCAGCACCCCTGACATTATCCTGCTCCTTTCAATGATCCATCCATCCACCCATCCATTCCCCATCTATCCATTTGTCTGAAAAGTGATCTGCTCACTTGTCCCTCCCCAGCCGAGAGCCTGCCTGTCTGTCTGTCTGGGAACACAGGACGTGTCTGGGGGTGGAAAGCACAGAGTGTGTGTGACTGTGGGTCACCAAAGCAATCTGGGAAAAACAGCTCCTGGAATCTGCCAGAGACAGTTTGTAAACTGGGCTGCAGACACGAGATCATCAGCCTCTTCTTCTCAGAGGCTCTGCTTTTCCCAGGCAGTTGCAAACTCAGCTGTATTGAACAGAATAATGTGGTGACAAGGTGACAAAGGTCAGCGTGAGACATTAAAGGAAGGGAAGGTGATTTATGTTAACACAGAATGTTTTCATTCACTCAGTATCAAATACATATACCCCTTAGCACCAAGATGTATCCCAGTGATTTTCCCAGCATGCAGGCACCAAGAGATGTGCATTCAGATTAACCCAGTGGTGTTAGGGAAGGCTCCAGGTACTCAGTACCTCTTGCTTCAAACTGATGTGACTTGAAAAATGAAGTTTTGCATCTTCAGGAGCCTTGAAGTGGCTTCATTTTTTCCCTACTGCTTGGGCCAGGCCACATGGCCATCTGATCATGATCTTCCTGGGCATCTCCTTTTCTAGGCTTGGCTCATCCCTGGGGCAGAGAAATAACTGGCAGAAAGAGACTCCTGTGGTTGGGTTCACACTGGTTCAGCTTCACAGCACAGCCCTAGCAAGGAACTACTTTGCTTGAGACTTCTGAGATCTTCCTTGCTGCAACTTTGATCCTAAACAGAAGGATTGCTGCCTGTGACACTTTAGAAAGCATTAGTGTGAAAGCAGGGTAGTAGCTGCATGTGCAGGGATGAACCTGGATGAGGACTTTTGTGCTGGAGAGCATTGATAAATTCACTGCATATATCAAATTAAATTCCTTGGGAAAAGTCTTGCAATGATTTTGAAAGTTAAGACAGTGGGATCTCACAGATTCTTTCTACAGACTGAGAGAGCATGGAAGGGATTAACATCTCAGTTTGGATTTCTCAGAACAACAGAAACTCCCAACAAAAAAGGATTTTCCTCTTCAGTTCCAAACGAGGGAATGGCACATTCATTAAATGGTACACTTTTTCCTGTCACATGATGGGGAGTGAGGGAAGAGGGAGGTAAATTCCTGTTTGCTTGACTGTCTTTCCATTGCTGTGTGCCTTCCCTGCCTGCTCCCTGCCTCTTCCCAGGTCTCTGCTCCTGCCCTTCCCTGCAGTCATGGACAGGGAGAGCACAGGGGCACACCAGTGTTCCTGAGGGCACAGACTGACAGAGGGATAGAGAGACCATCCAGGCCTAGAAATCAGCAGGAGAGCAGAACTACCACAGGGGCAGGAGAGTTCTCAGAGAATGGGAGGGGAGGGAGCTGAGATTTAGGTGTGCTGCTGAGAGCCCCAGTTGTGCAAGACTTGGGTGAGCTGATGTGTCATAGAAATATTTTCCTGGAATCCAGGGATAGGGCCATGAGGGCACTAATTAGGGCCTAATCTCCCTGAGCAACCTCACTTGAAGTCCTTTCCTACACCCTTGCCTGTGGCCAAGGGGGCTCTGCTTAAACTCAGGCCTGAACCTTCACCCCCTTGCTGTGCTTTGCTGCAGTTGCACCAGGTTTCAGGTTTTCCTGAGCTGTTGTTTGGCCTTCCCAGGCTGACCTTGGACCTGACTTCTTCCCTGGCCTTTGATGATCACAGGACTGTTGATAGGAACAGTTGATGGAGCCTCTCTGCTCACCCACTTCAGGTGCTGGGTTGAATTTACCTGGTCAATAAGGTTCCTGTCCTGCCTCTGCTGGGCCTGCCCCTTCCAGCAGGGAACAGTCCCCAACACCCACTTCTTACAGTACCTTCTCTGCCTTACAGGTGCTCCCAGCCCTTTGCTCCAAGGCTGTAGGACAGCTGGGAGGGAAGTTTGGCTTTCCTCCCTGGGAGAGGGTAATGGAGGGGACGGATCCCCTGCACTTTCCCTGGTAGAGTTTCTGTATTTCAGTATCTTTCACTTTGTGTCCAGGTGTGCACTGAGCTCCTGGCTATCTATCTGTCACTCCTGGCTATCTGAGTGACACATCACTCAGCTGCTGGGCTGGTTCTCCACTGGATCAGCCTTTCCACAGCCAAGACTTCCAGCACTCCCTGCAGGACTGTGTCCTTTAAAGGGACAGTGAATTGTACAAAATCAGGTGTCTGAAGGGACTATGATGTGTCACACTGGATGGCTACTTGAGGGGTGGTAAATGTCAACAAAAACAGATCTTTGTCCCCTCAGAGAGGTGCTCTGCCACCAGCTGCATCCTGGGTTGGTGTGGAGTTGGATCTCAAACAATGCTGGGGTGTCTGACTGTAGGACACTCCTGTCAACACAGTATGCTGGGGGTCAGAAGGCTCTCTGGGATGTGACAATTGTGGCAATGGGTACAACTGCCTCTGGTGTCCATGGCCACTTCTTTGGGACTCCACATTGAGCACGAAGCTTGAGAAGAGCCCGGAGGGATTTTGTGTTTAGTCTGTCACAGCAAACACTCAGTGTTCATGCACTCGGGGGTCATTTCTGTGTTTTGTCCTCATTTTATGGAGAAGTGAGGGGGTTTTGTGCCCTCAGTGCAACTTCTAAAAGACAATTTAATTGCTGCATTCAGACATAAAAGGGGAGAGGGCCAGGGCTGGCTGAGTTAACAGTGTTCGAGTATAATATCCTATGGAAGAGTAACAGAATCTGTCTATGTTGTAAATAACACTGAATGGCTTATTTTGGCAAAGAATTTTTATTCCTGGGAAATGCCATTTTGCAACAACCAATAACCACCTGCTGATTTTGGATGAAATTAGAATTTAAATGCTCAGGTCAGCTCAGATGCAGTGTTTGGTGGGCTTCCAGTAGAGACTCTCACATGTCTGATAGGAAATAATCTTTATGAGGCTGTCAGAGGCAAGGGAATACTCAGGGAAGGAATACTCAAGGGAATACTTAAAGATCCTTACACTGTTTTATTGGGAATGCCCATGTCAGGGGATTGCTAAGTAAAGCACATTACATAAGGCTGCCCTTTGGGGTGTTAAGGTCTCATAACTGGGACATATTTTCAAGTCTATCAGAATGATTTCAGCATCTCCTGAGTTGTCAGTACTTCTCTGTTTTTTGAAGCAGATGTTTTTTCTTTTCTACCGCATTAAATGGGACCTTGTGCGTTTTGCTGACTGTAAAGATGCATAAAGGTGTGTAAATGTGATCCTTTGGGATGTGTCACTTGCACTTTCTGGCTTAAATCTGTTAACAGAACAAGCTCAGCAATTTGTGCCCCAGCTCTCTCCTCCACAGGAAAGATGTTTAGCTATGGAGGGACAAGTAAGAAACCCTGAGCAGACTTCAGCTGGCTTCTGTGTTATTAAGGGACTGAGAATCTGAACTCAAAAATCTGGTTAATGTAAAGTAAAGATCAGGGAATTGTATTCCCACTTGGAAAGTACATTAAAGTACAGGCAAACCTGCTGTCTTCCTGCCTTGGCTATTCTTTCGTACAATGAGCACATTTGAAGGCGTGGTGCACCCGAGCTGCAGTTTCATTCAGAGCACAACAGGCCCATTGCCTGGTGTGGGGGGGTTGCTTTCACTGGATAGGAGCAAAACCTTTAGAAATGATGTTTGCTTTAGGTTCTTGGCTCTCATGTGGGCTAAGGCTGGTGTGGTTACAGGCAGGTCTCGTGGGACAGGGGGTTTGCCCACCTTCCAGGCTGGAAGAGCTCCAGGTACAGCCTCTCCCACAGGCTTCCTTGAAGAGGACAAGACAGAGAAAGCTGAACTTTATCCTAATCTGCTTTTTAGAAGCACTGATGTGCCCGTATCTATCTGGAAGTATTGGCCTCTGAAATGACTGTGATTGCCATTCTCCCAGTATGTGCCTGTCCCTGAGATGGGCAATGAGGGCAAGGAAACACCTGGAATATCTGCAACCTGCAGCCCTTTGGGTGACCCTTGGGTGCCCGCTGCCCTATGCAAGCTGAGGAAACTGCGCCTATAACCTCTTCATTCTCTGCCTGGGGTCTTTTACTTTGAGTCTCTGTCTTGTCTTTTTCAAGACTTATCTCTGTCAGTCCAGGTGACTCTGTATAAATTCTCACAGCAGAGAATTACTACTACAAGTTTGCTGAGGTGTCTGATCTCCATTTCCACCCTGACCTGTTTGTTCCTAATTCCCTGTAAAAACTGTTTTTTTTTCCAAAGGTGTACAAAGGACTGTAGGTAACAGCAGCTGCTCTCGGCTGTGTAACAGGAGTGCGGACTCAGACTGCTCAGTGTACAGTACAAATTCACATTAACACTGTGAGATAAATTCACATTAACACTGTGAACTGCTGCTCTGAAGGGCTCTGTCCATCCCTTACAAATCTGACTTTTCAAGGAATTATTTTTAAAAAGGTGTGTATGTGAAGAAGCCTCATCTTTAACCATGCTTGGCCACCCACTTTTATCTGAAATTCAATTTATCTGTTCTGTTAGGGACCCTGCTTATTCCTAGAATGGGATTCAAACCAGCTGAGCTCCAGTTCCCTTTAAAACATGGAGAGCCCTTCGGTTGTGTCAAAGTTTGTAACAAGTTGCTGTGAAGAGGAAACACAATCCACAGACAAAGCAACATCCCACTGACTTGTGAAATGCTGAAGAATTATGTTAATCTCAAATTTGCTCAGCACCCTTACTGGAATGGACTGAAATAATAACGAATAGGAGGCAGGTGCCCGGGTGCCCATAAAAATCCCAGTCCTCTGGATGTCTCGCAAGCTAACAGCCCTGTGACAGGCGGCCCCGCCCGCGACGACAGCGCGCCGGGACAGCGCGGGAGGGAGGCGGCACGGACCGAGGGGCTCCGGCCCGGCCCGCAGGACCCGCACCGACCCGCACCAACCCGGCCCGGCCCGGCCCGCAGGGACCCGCACCGACCCGGCCCGGCCCGGCCCGGCCCGCAGGGACCCGCACCGACCCGGCCCGGCCCGCAGGGACCCGCACCGACCCGCACCAACCCGGCCCGGCCCGGCCCGCAGGGACCCGCACCGACCCGGCCCGGCCCGGCCCCGGCTGCAGCTGCGGCGGCGCTCGGCTGGAGAGGACCCCGGGCCGAGAGCCGCAGGGCAGTGCCGGGTACTGCCCCGCGCCTGGAGCCGTGTTTGCTGCGAGCTCCGCTGCGTCTGAGCTCTGCGGGATCACCTCACAAGGCAGGGGAGGTAGGGAGACAGCCCGCACCGGGACAGACCCCGAACGGGACAGACCCCGCACGGGACAGACCGACAGACCCCGCACCGGGACAGACCCCGAACGGGACAGACCGACAGATCCCGAACGGGACAGACCCCGAACGGGACAGACCCCGAACGGGACAGACCGACAGACCCCGAACGGGACAGACCAACAGACCCCGAGCGGGGACAGACCAACAGACCCCGAGCGGGGACAGACCCCGAACGGGACAGACCCCGAGCGGGGACAGACCGACAGACCCCGAACGGGACAGACCCCGAACGGGACAGACCGACAGACCCCGAACGGGACAGACCGACAGACCCCGAGCGGGGACAGACCGACAGACCCCGAGCGGGGACAGACCGACAGACCCCGAACGGGACAGACCGACAGACCCCGCACCGGGACAGACCGACAGACCCCGAGCGGGGACAGACCCCGAGCGGGGACAGACCCCGAGCGGGGACAGACCCCGAGCGGGACAGACCCCGAGCGGGGACAGACCGACAGACCCCGAACGGGACAGACCCCGAACGGGACAGACCGACAGACCCCGAACGGGACAGACCCCGAGCGGGGACAGACCGACAGACCCCGAACGGGACAGACCCCGAACGGGACAGACCGACAGACCCCGAGCGGGGACAGACCGACAGACCCCGAACGGGACAGACCCCGAACGGGACAGACCCCGAACGGGACAGACCGACAGACCCCGCACCGGGACAGACCGACAAACCCCGCACGGAGACAGATCTCGGACGGGGACAGACCCCGAACGGGACAGATCCCACGGGGGGACAGACCCCGCGAGGTTCATTCCTGCAGAAAGGGGAACTCAAGTGACCCTTCTATGAAACCACATCATTAATGGAACAAGTGGGGATGAAAGGAGAGAAATGCCCTCTCTTACTCTGTTTTTCTCTATTTCCATGTTTTTCTGAATTTCCGGGTTCCCCCCCCCCCCCGTATTTCCATTTTCTGGAGTGGGGGGGGTCTAAGCAACCTGATGTTCCCCCCTTGGTGGGGAGTGGAACAATCTGAGCTTTATGGTCTCTTCCAACCCAAACCATTCTATAATTTTATAATTTTGATTATTTCTCCATTGGATGCTGGCATAATTTTCTGAGGAAAGAAAACAAAGGACTTTGTACGATTCAATGTGAATTAAGTAAAAGTTGTTATTGTGCTTCTAAACATTGTTTATATTTACTTCTTACCTTGATTTATACAGCCACGTATTGTTTAATTGGTAGTTCTGTTCTGTCTACACATCTTTTGATTGGTAGTTTTACTCTGTTTATGAGGTAAGCATACATTTCTTTCTTAATCTAATTGGTAGATATGTTATTTTACTTGTGTTGACACCCTTATGTATGTTAGCAATTTTTTTGTTTCTTCTTTCTTTTTGTAATATTAGCTTTTTTCTCTATAAAGATGACTTCATTTCTTAGTTCTAGAAGGTTAGGCTGGTTCATTTAATACATGTCTGTTTTCTTGTAAATATGATCTTACCATTTTCTGGCTAAAGATGACACTTATTTTATTCTGATATTTTAGTGCTAGATAAAGAGTGAACAAACTTCAGAAGGAATGGGGCAGCATTCCTAGAAATGTGAGTCCCCTGGGACCTCTGTAGGTGCCAGACATTCACTGGTGCTGGCACAGGTCAGGTACTACCCGGACAGTGTTGAGATTAATTCTGGTGTCCCACATATACAATGGGAAGATGGCACATGCTGTGGCCTCTTAAGGTTCCAGAGAGAATTTCTTACCATTTATTTGAGTGCGAAACTTCCCAGCACATCAGGGAAGGAAACATTAAAACAGCTGGTCAGGCCAGGATGGGGCTTGTTTCATCTGTTGCCACTTGCAGGCTGGGCCACGATAAATCCTGTAACAACATAAAAAACTCAGAACTGAGGGGTTTGCTGTGCCTCTGGTTTGAGGCAGAGAGGAGGACAGAGATAAATCCTTGGCTGCATTTTATTGTTTAATGTGCTGCATGCAGTGAGCTTTGTTAACCCTCTGCATGCCTGAGGGGTGGTGTCTGTGAAGTGCTCCCAACACACAGAGTTAATTTTAGCTGGAGAGAGACATTTAGCAAAACCCAATGGCCGTGTAGGGTCAAATGAAAGTTGTACAGGCACCCCTTGTTATCTGCATTTATGAAAGCCCAGATGAGCTTAAATCCTTATTCTCTTCAGTGCCTCAAGGGGGATGGAAAGTCCTGGTAGAGGGATATGTCTCGTAATAGGTTGATGTTTAATCACATCTTTTGTGAGTCTTTATTAAATGTCTGTTGCCCACTGTTTTGTTTTGTGGATGAAAATGGTAAGTAAATCCCAGCCTCAGAACTGGAACATGCAAGGAAGGCAGTAATGGGAGCAGCTATTACTGGGAAAAGTGGGAATGTTGGGTTTATAGGCAGCCAGGCTCCAACTAAATTCTTGACTGCTAGCAAACCCCTTCAGTCAGTCATAAATGCTAACACTAAACCAGTGAGAAGAGAACTGAGCAAGAGAACAGAAGGAATTCTCTGTAGTGTGGGAATGAGGGAGCTGGTCTGCACTGTGAAAGCAGAGCACTGGTACTTCTTGCATTCATTCCCTTGGTTCTGATTTCCTTGTGTTGTGTGAAAGTCCAGCGAACTGCAGTGGCTCTGACCCTGGCTCTGTGTGCAGTGACAGCAGCCCTCAGCTTGCAGGTGACAGAGGGACATACTGGCACCTCAGGTGGGAAGGGAAAATTGCCACAGGTTCAAGCTTGAAACAAGTCCCTTCAATTTCTTCTGGACTCTACAATGTGGATAAACTGGTGTTGAGGGACTGGAATAGGAATGGGCATCTCCCACTGAAAAGAGCAGCAAGTACTCAGTAATTGGAACATCACATTTACTTAAATTCAAATGTTGTGGGTATGGAAGACTCACTGAGGCACTCACATGCATGGTGTGACTGTTCCTTATCCTGGTGCAGGACATTCTCCTGGGAAAACCAAAATGTTCTTCTGTCACCCAGCTGGCCCCTGGCCTGATCTAAACACACAACGTTCCTGTACTCACACATGACCAGCATGACCAGCACTGCCAGACTCACCTGATTTTGTGTAGTGTGTTGGGTGGTTGGAGGGCTGCAGGTACCTATAATCTTCACTGAATTTGGCCTTTATTCCATATTCCATGTCCATTTTCTTGTATAGTGTTTATGGGATTGTCATTGCTGTTATGTCAAGATGGACTTGGAACATGACCACTGAGCTTTGCACATCTTCACCCATTTCATATATTAATATTTCTGCCCCAAAGAAGCCTCCCTGGCACCACGTCCACCCTTAGAGCAGTCAGGACTGTCCACCAGGCTGCAGGGAAATGAGGTGTCTTGGCCTGGTTTTTGATCTTAGTAATTTCTTTATGGACTGAAAATCCAGACAGAGTTTTGGACCTGCTATGTCTTGGTTTCTTGAGTTCTTGCCCTTTCCGAGCCATGTGGGTGCCAAAGTCTGTAGGAAGAGCAGTGCCAGTTGTCATTGGTCGGAGCAGGAAGACTTGACACCAATATTCCAAGAAGGGAATTACAAGGAAAAAAGAACCTTGGAAGAGTCTTGTTTCCAGTTAAAGCAGAGTTTTAAATTCAATCTGAAATAACTGTCCTTCAACTGCTGCCTCTGGTAGTTTTTCACTGCCTTTCCTTAGGTGAATGGCCTTACTTTCAGTGAAAACCGTGTTCCCTCTGCAGGGAAAGCAGTGCCCACTAAGCATCCTGGCCTCGCCGTGACATTCTGCAGCTCCCAGTGGCACTTGGTGCCTCAGCCCTGGCACACAGGGGTTAACACGGCCTTGGGTGGGCGGGTGGAAAACAAGCTGTGAAATGGAAGAAGGTCAAGCTCTTGGAGGAGGTTGCTCTGTTGCAGATGGTTTTAAATTATCAGTCCCTCTAAGGGAGACACCCCTAGAAAACTGTAAAATCAGGGCTGGAAATGAGGCAAAACTCAATCAGGTTTGTGGGATCAGTGGAACAGGAGCAGTTGTGGATCTCCTGGGACTTGCTAGACCCTTGAGACTCCACTGTCTGTCTAATTAGGAATTCCTCAGTTAAGACCCAAGAGCTATATGTGACTGGAGACTCAATACCATTGGCACTTTTCTGTGGGGAGCAAATGCCTGGAAAGGGAGAACACATGGGAAGAGGAACAGCAGAAATCCCTGTGGCCCTGGATAGCTCAGGCTCTGGGATAACTCTGCTTCTGCTGCAGCTCAGGAGAGCTGAATTCAGGTTTCAGTAGAGGCAGGTAAATGCTTCCTTACCCAAAGTGCTACTCTCTTTAGAGACTTGTCTGGCAATGGGGTTTATTAAAGGTGCAGCATCCAGTCAGCAAAGCCACAAACTACTGTCCTGGACCAGCAGGACTGATGTCTGAGGGAGCATCTTTGGGATGGTCATTGTCCAAAGCAGGTGAAAATGCTGTTGGAGTCCCACATTGCTAGAAAACAGTGTCTGCTACTGAGAGGATTTTCCAGCAGCAGTCCAGATTTCCCAGATCCTTGTTGTCTTATTTTCTTGGCTTGCCAACTTTCAAATGGTTTATATTTCACTTTGTAATTGCTTCTACTTTCTACTTTTATATCACTGCAAAGGTAACAGGGGATGTAGAATTGAAGTATCTTAGCCCAGGCATCAGTGTGAGCAATTTCATTTTCCTCTGTTGACATGCTTTTCTCATGAACTGGGAAGCTTTAAACACTGTCACCAGCAGCAATGGTTGAAAAGAAAGAAGAAATAAGGAAAATTACTGAAGAATTTAATTTTCACATTTATCTTTTAAATTGTTGGTTGAAATGGTGATTCCCAGCCCTGCAAGGGAGAAATTTTTGACACCTGGGTGAGAATCTTCTTTCTCAGGCTAGTGGAAATGGTGCTCTTTGTGGTTCTTCTGTCCTGATGCAATCTAACAGGAGTCTAAGCTGTGGCACTAAGGATTTTCTGTGTGTTCCTTTTCCATTACCCTCAGATTTTAAAATTATCATCTTCTCATGGGAGAGCCTTCTTCTGGTTTTGCCAGCACAGCCAGCCTGTGAACCAGGGCCGTTACAGTAAAAACACTTCTCTTGCCACCTTCTGGAGCCAGCCGTTCCTCTCCAATTGAACATGAGATTTAGTATTAATTGGTTCACCCAGTGCAAAGGAAAGCAATGACTGTGGGTTCTCAGGCTGAAGTGAGTGAAAGCAGCCTTCAGGCCAGTCTGGTTTTGTTGCCTGCAGGTTGAGCTGCTGGGAGAAGGGAACTTGCAGTCCCAGACTGACCATCTCTGTGAACATCAGGAACTAAGCAAAGGCCCTTCTGCTTTAGGGGAGCTTTCTGAGCAGAGGAAGGAAGGCTTACAAGGTCTTCAAGGGCAGACCAGAAGCAAAAGATTTGAGGTCACAATGCACTGAACTTGTACATCCGGGTACCTGTCCATGGAAATCACGGATCCAAGAATGCTTTGGGTTGGAAGAGAACTTTAAAACCATCTAATTGAAGCTCCCTGCCATGGGCAGGGAACTTTCCACTGGTGGAATAAGTGGCCTTGTTTGCTGCTCATGGGAAAGGGATCAGCCTGTGTCTGTGTTGGAAGGAAAGGAGCAAACTGAGGTGTGTTTTTTGGCTGTAGCAGTGAAGCTATTGTAGAGCAACTGGATTTCTTTCTGGTCTCTTGGAATAGCACAGTCTGAGGGACTCTTCTGCTGAGGGCCAAGCCCAGGCATGGTTGACCCACACACAGATGCAATAATTCACTGGTTTTACTTCTCTGCTAAGGAATTGTGTATCTCCTAAGGACCCGTGGCCTCTGAGTAGGACACACCCGTCTTCTGGCGTGTTCTACACAACCCGGTGCATAGCCTGTCCTTTCCTTGGATCTGCACAAGTGTTTGTCCTTCTTTGAGGCCCAAGGTCTTGCACTGGAGATGCAGCATGGCCTTGACTGATGGTCGCATCTGGCCAGGCTGGCCCAGGCCATGGCTGGCCTTGCCAAGGGCTCCGGGGCACCTCCCCTGGGCTGGGGGAGTGTGGGGCTATAATGAACCCCCAGGGCTGCTTCAGCTCAGTGTGGAGACACCCGACAGCTCCTGGGCACAGCCTCACCTTCTGCAAGAGTGGAGAGGGTGAGGGGGACAACAGTTTGCTGTTTCTTTTGCCATTTAGTGACATTTACACCAGACAGATAAAGGGCTTATCTTGCTTCCCACAGGTCACTGATATCTGGGACTAGGGGACCCACTGGACTGCTATGAAGAGCTCTTTGCTCTTAATGAACAAAGGCGCTGTGGGCCTGGAGACGCAGAAGTGACTTGCAGAGGATCCTCTCAGAAGCTCAGCCTGTAAAGTGGTGAGTTTGGCCATGTCACCACTGATTTGTGTGGGGGTGATGCAGAGCTGGGACTAGGAAGTGACACCTTTGTTGTCACACTGAATGTGGGTTTGTGCTGCAGTAGGTCTGGAAATGGTTGTAAACGTTCTGGTAGTAGTGGGCTTCTGTAGTGTTTGGCTCCTGTAGGGTACACTGATTTCCCTGGATTTCCCTGGGAAGATGCCAGGCTGTTGAAGATCTGGTGTTCCTTGGAGCTGGCAGAGGACTTGTGGCACAGGTACACTGGGGTTCCTATGGGTTTTCATCCTGACAGTGAGTAGGGATATGTTATCTTCCCTTCCTGGCAGTGAGGCACTGTTGTTTGTGCTGTGATACTTGCTGTAAATCTATTGCCTGTATCAAAGTCTGTTTCTGTTATGAAAAATCTGTGGGAGTGTTTGTGGCCATGGAAAGGCACAGACTGACCGGTTTTCTTGCTGCCATCCCATCCCTGCTGCTCCGAAGGGACATGGGTTCACTCTCATGCTCACTGGGGGGGCTTAATGGCTATTGCTCCCTTAGAAAATAGGGATGGTGTGTGTCTCCTCTTGGCCTTTGGTACCAGTGCCACTTTCATACATAAATGGGTACAGGGTATCTAGTTTGTGTTTCTGTGGATCCTGAGCAAGCACTTAGGTCGTGTTCATAATCCCTGGGGCAGAGGAGAAGATCAGGTCAGGTATAGATTTACCAAAGGGATAAGTCACACAAAATCTGATCCTTGGGCATTCCTCCCCACTCTGCACAAGACCTCCATTCATCACTGGAGAGCTTGTGACATTCCCGCTCTGTGACCTGCTCAGAAGTTTTCATGAAGTTTCCCTTCTGCAGTTTGCTGGCCTTCAGTTCTGTGGTTCTAACCAAAGCATTTGAAATTTTCCTTGAAAATTGATCTGAAATGGGAACACTCAAGCTCAAAAGATTACTTCAAGTTAACAAAAAAAACCACAGAAAGCCAACCCAAAGCGAAAAGAGAACTTCTAGGTGAAATATACTCACTGAGTATCTGTATCTCTAGGGTAAAGCACAGCCAGAATTTGACTGAAGTCACAACAATTTGGTATTTTGTTAGAACATTTGTTGTGTCAGGACCACCCTTATTTTCATGAAAGAGAAATTCAAAGAGAATTACAAGGAGAAAAGCTTTGTCTGGGGAGTGTTAGGCTGCATATCAGGAAAGGTTCTTCCCTCAAAGGGTGCTGGCACTGCCCAGGCTCCCCAGGGAACGGGCACAGTCCTGAGGCTGCCAGAGCTCCAGGAGTGTTTGGACAGCACTGCCAGGGGTGCCCAGGGTGGGATTGTTGGGTGTCTGTGCAGGGCCAGGGGTTGGATGGTCCCTGTGGGTCCCTCCCAGCTCAGCATATTCCATAATACATGCTCCTATGAAAGGGAATGCTGCCTCTTGCTGATTACTTTACCATCACTGGTTTAAGTCTGTGCTAATGGCTTTGTCCCCGCTGTGTCTGTGCTTGTGCAATGCCCGTGGCACATCCTGAGCCTCTGCACCCATCCTCTCCCCATTAACCACTCTCTGTGTGCCACTTCCCTACAGGTTTGGCTAATTTTGCTCACTAGTCTGCCAGCAATTACGTCACATCTTGTCTGTGCATTGCAGTGTCTGAAGCCCATAAATAACTCCCTGTGGTGCCCCCAATACCCCTTCAAATCCTCTGACTCCCAAATGTTTTGCTTATTCAGTCAGCTGATTTATGGCTCCAGCACTGGTGTCCAGTCAGGCTCACAGGGAATGGTCTCTTGCTCTGTCTCATCCAGACAGATTGATGAATACACAGGATGAAGTGCACCCTCCCACCCTGCCAGGCTTGTTGCTTTATTTTGGGACATTAAAAATGTTGTCAGTAGCCAAGGGCTTACTCCAGCTCTGCGCTCAAAGCCACAGAAGCTTTCCCTCTGTTTCCAGTGGGGACATCCCTGCAGCTGCAAAGCAGACAGACTTCTTCCTGGAATGAGGAATGGCCAACTGGATACCTGAATGAGGCTAATGCATGGCAGGGATGTGTTTTACAGAGGAGTGAAAGTGTTGAGCTGCTTCCAGTGTCACTCTGTTTTGCTGGGGGTGTTAGCAGCATTCACCTGGGGAGGAGTGACTCCCTCTTGGAAGCATTTATTCCATTGAATAAATCATCCTCATGTGGACACCAATGTTTCAAGCACCTGTGAGTGAAGATATTAATTACACTATGACAATTTTTAGAAGGTTTTACCTGTCTCATTTTTAAAATTCTGTGATTTCTTTTTCTAGATTGAATTGAAATCAGAACAAAGCCATGATTATTCATGTAACAAGGGAGTAAAAATTTTAAAAGTAAGCAGGGGTAGGTTTTAGTGACTCTGTGCTAACCAGGGTGTTATTTTCTGGTCCTTATTTAATACACAAGACACTGGAAAATGCAATGTGGTTGGATTCATTACACTGAAGGAATGTTCCCTTCATATCCAGCACTGTTATTTTAACCCTGCAATCAATGTGTGGCATTAACATGCTTCCTTCTCATTCTCCAGAAGTCAGGAATTCACAGGAGTTTAAGGACTCACAGGAGCTTATTTTTAATCCAAGTGAATTTTTGAAATCTTTAAGACTCTGTAAACTCAGCAGTTTATACATAGTGCACATAGTCCATGTTGTCCACTGAGAGATGGAGTCTGTTACTGCCTGTGCAAATATTGCCAGTATTTGGGGGTTTTACCAAACTAGATTTGAATTTAGCCCTCTCTCAGCAGTTTCTGTTATGGTAACACATGTCCACTGTCACACCAGGCTGAGAATGAAACATTCTGACATGAAACATTTGGAGATATGAGAAAAGGCTTTGCAGCTGAGTTTGTACCACGTTGCAGTTTCAGAGTAGCTGCTCCTCTCCACTGCCCAGCATGGAGGAAAGGAGTCAGTACTAGCAAAGAATAAATGCAAGTGTAACATAAACAGAGCTTAGGAGAAAGCTGCTGCAAGCTGGTGTCAGGTCATCCTGTTCATTGAGTGCTGTAAGCATCAGACATTCCATCTCCAGGAGTGGTGACATGTTTAGGAAGATACAAGAGGCAATAGGGGATTATGTTTGTTGTTAATGTGGTTCAGTACTGTGGAGGACAAATTAAATCCATAAGAGGGTGATCAAGAGCCTCTCAAAATCTCAGCCATTCACTGTGCAATGCTCTGCCTGTGGCATTACAGGGTGCCCTGGAATCACCTTCTTTTCAGTTCAGTTTTGCGTCTTTTCCTTCCCACAAGCTCCTCATTCCCTTCATTCACAAGTTTTAAGACACCTTCCATGGGATGACAAAAGTAACTGTATGATGTACCAGACTAGCAGCACACAGATGAAATACAAACCCCTTGTTGTGGTGGGAGCAGCAGAGGACACCCAGATCAGGCCAGGAGGGGACAGGAGAGAGGGCTTGGCTGCTGCTCACTCAGCCCTTTCCCATTTCCCAGTGCTGTTGTCTCTGTGCATTTCCACTGAGGCCAGGGAGGCTCACAGAGTTGTTAATTATTGCTGAGATTTGTAGTGTGTGCAGAACCCCAAAACAAGATTTGTGGTAAGGACAAAGTGGAGCCAGTGATTTTTTGTAGGGTGGTATCTGTAGCTCTTTGCAGCTGCCGAGTAACGGCAAAATGCATTTTGGTTCAGAAGCTGACCCAGAGGTACTGTGAGTGACACTCTCTTTGGCCTGGCTATGGTTTATCCAGCACAAATTATTTTTGCTCACTAAGTTGTCTCTTACCTTTAGCTGAAACCAATTCTCACCCAGACAATGCAGCTCAGAGTTGAATGTGTGACAAGGAGATGTCACCCATATGTTTCCATGAGGTGCCAGGTGACAGAGCTCAGCTGGATGACTGCCTGGTGTAGGTGTGCTCCCAAAGTCCCTGTGCCTTTCAAAACTGATGGAAGTTGCATGTTCCTGTGTCCCTCTGTTGACTGAAGGAGTGCAGAGGGTAAGCAAAGACGCAGCACTAATGCCACAGGCAATCCAATCTAATTGCTCTTTCAGAACTGCAGTAACTCTAAAGTTCCTGAGCATCTCTCACATGACAGAAAATCTGCTTTCCCAGCTTGCTGCAAAGGCAGGGATGTGATACATTACACATTGTTCAATTAAAATACAGGGAGAGAGACTCCTTTGGCAGAAGGTCCCCTGAATGATCCATAACAATAACTCCTTAATGCCAAGTTCACACTTCACCATTCCCTTCTAAAGGCTTCTCATCTGCTCTCAGGTCTGTTGCTAATTTAACCAAGCTAAATGAGATCAGGATGTACCTCTGCTCCATGCCCCAGTTTAGACATCCATCTCTGTGGTTTTCTTCTCAGCAACTGCTCTTGCCATCCATCAGAACCCACCACGTGAGTGCCATGTGTTGAATGTTTGCCTGAAACACGAGAGGAGGTCTTTAGAGGAAAGCCAGGTGACACGGAGGGATGCCACTGGATGTGTACATTTTCCATTCAGCCCTGCTAATCATCCTCATACCCAGGTTGTGTTGGGCATGACAGGTCTGCCTCTACTTGGCTGCAAGGATGTGGCAAGTGAGGAAGGACAAACTGTGTCATTAAGCGAGCACTGTTAAGATCTGTCCTTTCCCTTGGAAACTGTAAATAATTAAAGTATTTGTCTTTTTCAAAGGAGAACTTGTAATCTGTTTGTGCTGACCCCGGAAAGCTGAGCAAAGCATCATGAGTAGCCATCAGACAGGTGAGAGAACAGACACAGCTCTGGGGATCCCTGGGAATAACCCCAGCTTGCATCTCTAGCTTGGAGGTGGCACTGACCCACCAGGCTCTGACTTGGCAGGGGGGCTTTTCTCATGCCAGACTTTGTATTTGGAGCAAGAACTGATGCCAAGCTTCCCTGTCCAAACTGTCACTGGAGCTGTGAGCCAAGGCGGTCCTGGATTAGGACTTTGATTGCAGAATTTCCTGCTTGGACACAACTTTGGCAAAGCCACCACAAAATCCCAGAACTCAATGCCCAAACCTTGAGACATATTTACAGCCTGTGGCACTGGAATGGGTGGGACCTTTGTGGTTCAAGAGGAGCTGAGCAGGAGCAGTTATTGCTCTGCAAAAGGCAGTTCAGACTGAGAGATTCTTTTTGAAGGACAAACATGTAAATTGAATGTATTTTTTCTTGATTTTCTAGTAAAAATCTTCAAGAAATCTTCTATCCCAGGAGTTGCTATCACTCAGTTTGTGAATGATATTCCACAAGGATGCAGTACACCTGATTTTGAGAAAAAACCACTCAGTCTGACATTGCAGGAAGGTGAGACTTGATAAACAGGCAAAGCCACAGATCTGGGGTTTTAACTTGATGTCCCACACACATGAAAAAATTAACATGATTAAATCAAATGAGTTTCTAAAGCGATTTGATATGACCACAAAAAAACTGTTGTGTGGCCAAAGTCTTTGTTACACTGATGACAATGCCATTAGTACTCACAAAGGTCTCCTGAGTAGTCACTACGCGTATGCAAGGCCAGCATCTGGCTCTTATGTGTACAGCAAATCTGGTGAATTCTGCAGGAAGCTCTCACAGTAAGGAGTTTGCAGCAAAAGATTAAGCACATGAAAAAGCTGTTGGTTTTTCTGTTTTCCTGTTGAAAGAACTTGTGTTCAGCACTAAAATCAGCTGTTTTTTTAAAGTAGGATATGCTGACTGGAGGTGCTGTTTAGGCTATAGGAGCTTCCCAGTGCCTAAAAGGGCTCCAGGAGAGATGGACATGGGCCTGGAGTGCCCGGACAGGGGGGAATGGCTTCCTACTGCAAGAGGGAAGGGTTTGGTGGGATATTGGAAAGGAATTCTTGGCTGTGAGAGTGGTGAGGCCCTGGCACAGGGTGCCCAGAGAAGCTGTGGCTGCCCCTGGATCAAGTGTCCAAGGCCAGGCTGGGTGGGGCTTGGAGCACCCTGGGATAGTGAGAGGTGTCCCTGCCTATGGCAGGGGGTGGAATGAGATGGACTTTGAGGTCCCTCCTACCCAGGCCATTCCATGGTTCTGTGATGATTCTGTAAGGAACAACACAAGGATCTTGCACAGAGCAGGCAGCTGATAAGCCAAGAACTGGAACCAGTGAAGAGCCTCCCAGAGGTCTCTCTACACCTGCAGAGAGTAGTTTTATTTTTTCTTTTTTGTTGGTGTGGAGTGGCCTGAGAACATTGTGTAGCTCCTCTTTCCTGCCAGGACTGAACCAGCAGTTTGGATTTCGGTGTTCCACACTTACCTGTGGATTTCCAGGAGCCACTGAGGTTTTATGAAGGAGCACAGTGGCCTCTAGTGGAACCTGTTCCTCTTCCTCTTCCTCCTCCTCCACCTGCACATTTCACACACTACCCAAGGCCCTTGGCTAAGTTTTCACCTATCTAAATTTTTACCTGCGTAAATTTTCCAATTTACTTCATTTTCAGCAGGTTTTTTGCAGTTCCTATACAGACTGTGCATTCAGGTTGGTCACTAATTCTGTGTCTGTGTAGAGGCACCATGAGGGCCTTTAATTCTGTCATCATCACCCCACTGTGTTCAGTGCACGGCTGAGCTGATTCTTCTGGCTGGGTGGTCTGTCACAGGTGGCGAGTGTAGGAAAATGCAGCCAAAGTGGCTAAAATGTAACACGAATTACAAACTGCAGTCAGACTTCAATAAGGGATAGTACTGCAATCTCAAAGGCTGGAAAAGGCCTTTTGATAAGGATCTGTTGGCAGGAACTTGTTCCATCAAATAAGTTTGGTGGTGGTGACTGCAGAAAGGTGTGAGAAATATTGCCAAACTTTCCACGGAGATTCTTTAACAGTGTTGGTCACCAGAAAACCAAGAATATTAAAAAATAAGAGAGAGTGATCATTTCTAACCTGAAGTGTTTCCATGGATAACTCACCTCCATTTCTATTCCCACTCACCTACACAAGTCACTTCTCTGACTTGTTTCCCAGTGTTCCCTGTGGTTTTGGAGCCTGTTGGAGAAGAGGTTTGTACTGGGCAGTGGGAAAGCTGTTGGAGATTTCTGTGGTGGGCTGCTGGCTACTCAGGTTCCTGAGGAGCAGGGATGAAGGAAAGGAACCCCCTTGTCTTCTCCCTCCCCTGTCTCTTCAAACAGCAGAACCTGGTGGGTTTGGAGTGCAAGATGGTGCCAGTTAAAGATTGGAGAAACAGTGGGATTTGATAGAGAATATGTGTGATGAGAAAGGATTTGGACATTTCATGGGTAAAAGGCAAGTCTGGATTTCAGTGATGGTCAGAGATGTCAGCAGCCATGTCTGGTAGGGTAATGCCACATTTTAAAGGCCTTTTATGATTGAATACACACAAAACCTGAATTATTGATGTGCATAAGATGTTATTGTTATTTTTGAAGAATGTTTCTGCACAAAATAACAGAAATTAGTCACTCTGGGGATCACTCTTGATAAAATAAGGGGCTAGGTCTTAAAGTCGTTATGTTCAAGCCTGTATTAAATAACTAAAATCTTGTCTCTTTTCAAAGGCAAAAATGCCATTTTCAGAGCTGTGGTCAAAGGTGTCCCAGCTCCTGAGGTGAAATGGTCACGTACGCAGAAAGGAATGGATGATCCTGCCAAATATGAAATGTCCTTCAATAGTGCTACAAATGAATTCATTCTGCAGGTAAAGATAAAATACTTCAGAAAGGACTTGTGGAAATGAGAGAAATGGACAAGAAAAACCTGCAGTGGGATGAGGGGAAGCAGAGGGGCAGCTCCAATCTCTCTCTCTGTGACCAGGGACAAGGCCCCAGGGAATGGCTGGAGCTGTGTCAGGGCAGGCTCAAGCGGGATCTCAGGAAAAGGTTTTTCCCCCAGAAGGTGCTGGGCACTGCCCAGGCTCCCCAGGGAATGGGCACAGCCCCAAGGCTGCCAGAGCTGCAGGAGTGTTTGGACAGCGCTGCCAGGGACAGGCTAGGATTGTTGGGAGTGCCCTGTCCAGGAGCTGGACTTGACGATCCTCTGGGTCCCTTCAAACTCAGGGTGTTCCATGATTGTACACATCCCCAGCTCTGAGATAACACAAAGATAAGCAAACAAAGCTTTTTAGAGCCCTTTGGGAACAGAAGAAGCCTCTGAGGTGCCATTGAGTAGGTGGTTTATGAGAAGCTGAAGGTGAGCTGAACCCCAGCCCTTTCTGTGAGCAGTTTCTGTGCTCTCCCTTTGAAGATCAAGAGCCTGGTTCTGGATGACAGTGATTTGTATCGCTGCTGTGCTGTCAATGCCTACGGAGAGGCCTCGTGCTCTGCTGGCCTCAGGATCATCCAAGGTAGGACTGGCAGCTTTGGGCTCCACAGGCCCCTGTGGTCCCAGGCAGTGGCTATGCTGTCCCCTGGGCTGCGTGTCCAGAACTTTGTCTGGGTGTTCTTGATGTGAAGGTTTGGTATTCCCCTCATTGAAGACTGGAGATCTTTTGGTAGCTCCCTAACATTGTGAGCTTTAAGGCAAGGGGGAAAAAGGTGGAATTGTGCTCACTGCACTGGTCCATAATCAGACACCCTGGATTTAGTGCTGAACTGCCCCAATCCTTTCTTTATGTTGTTGAATTAATCAGTCCTTTGGGAGGGATCCATTCCTCTGTGGCTGTCTCTTCACCTCATTCCTGCTTCCCTTTATAGTCAGTGGAGAGAAATGGGCACTTGCTGGGTCAGATATAACTGATGTTCTTGGAATCCACTTGAGCAGAAGATGGATTATATCTGAAGTGTCCATGTCACCTCTGTGCCTTTCAAGTAAATTTAGAAGGACCTGTTTCCAGTTGCCATTTCCACCTTGGCTCCCCATCTCTAAAACAGGATGTTGATATTTCCTCCCACTGCTTAAACCATGAAATTTGTAGGGCAAAAATGCTCTCCTCCTCTGTGTGGAGTCTCCAGCAAACACAGATTCAATGGCAACAGAAATATCACCTTTATAGATGGAGTTTACAGGGATTGACAAGGAAATCCAAACTGGGATTCCCTCTTGCACTGGTAACAGATACAGTGGTTTCATGGCTCATTGTTTCACTGCTGTTAATCTAATCTTGTTGATCCTATGGCTTGTTTTCCTTCTGTTTTCTCTTGTAAATGATCAGTCGGCTTTAAGAGGAAGGCAAAATATGTTCCTGTTCATGCTGCTGATGGTAAGTTTAAGATTTATATATGTGTATTATATTATTGGGGGGGGGGGGTGGGGCAGAGAGAAAAATACTCTGTCTGCCACACTATTGCTACCTCAACTTGTGAAGACTGGAGTAAAAGAAGGATTAATGAGCCTCTAATGTTCTGTCATCTCTGTCTGCTTGCTCTTTACCTTTTGTTAAAGTGATGATTTTAGACACAGTTTTGAGCTGTTCTAATTAGTGATTGTGGAATCATTAGGAAAGGAAAAAGGGATTTTGGGATGGGTGTTAAACACATCTGGATCAAACTTGTTAACATAGCTGAAAATAGTGGGTCTCTAGAGGGAAGCCACTTAGGAAGAGATAAACTTCACTGGCACTCAAAGGATATGCATGACAGTGAGAACTGACTAAGTTTCATGACAGGTTTTTGGTAGTGTGAAAGAAATGCCAGAGGAAGAGACCTCAGCAAAATGACCTGTTTTCAGTGGCTATTCTGCATTATCTTCATTGGGGAGATGTATTTCACAGTGCTGGGTATGTGACTGTTAGTTGTTTCCCCCACTTTTGTAACAGAGCTCAAGAAGACACTCCAGAACTCCAAGAAGATGCTGAGGAAGAGGTAAGGCTCTGGAGTAAGGGCCATGCTCCCATTTCTAGATGTTTCTTGGTGGTAGGGGACAGCTCCAGAGACCTTCAGGGCAACACTTCTTGTGGTGAGACTCCCCGTGGAGAGACAGGCCAGAACAGCTTGGCACTCCCAGCTGGACTGAGATAAACACAAGGTTCCAGCCTCATTTTGAGGGGTATTTCCTCTGCACCATGAGGTTCTGACAGGGAGGCTGTGCTTCTGTGCTTCTCTGTGTTTAGCTCAGGAGTAGATTCCTATGCAAAGGACAACTCTTCATGCACTGATGGCTCTGGCTGCCCAGGGACTGAGCTCTAGCTCCCAGCCCAGCTGCACAGGGCAGAATCCTTCCTTTCCCAGGTGGGAAGCTCTAGGGACTGCCTGCTGATAATGATCTTTATGCAGAATCCTGAACTGTGCTAGGCAGTTACCTGGCCTGGGCCAGACTGTGCCAGACCCTCTGGTGATAATTCAGCAGTGTGGAAGCTGTTCCCTGGCACTATTGAATTTGTAGTACAGATGCAGGAAACCTGCTCTGGGAGGGTCCCAATCTTTCCTGCCTGCACCTAGAGGGCCAAGTGAATTACAGGAATGATGGAGAGAGATGAAAGAGAATTAGGCATAAAAAATCAGGATATCTTACTGTCTGTGCAAATGTCTGAATGGTTCCCCCCCTGGTTCTCAGGGTTGCAGCACCAAAACCGAAGCCTCTGGACAAAGAAGCTGTGTGGCAGCTGTTGCTGCATGCAGATAGGAGAGATTATGAGAAAATCTGTATGAAATATGGAATTGCTGACTTCCGTGGGATGCTGAGGAAGCTGCAGGAGATGAGGAAGGACACAGAGAGTGAACAAGACAAGGTAAATAAAATGAAACCACTCATTTTTAACAAATTGTAGCTTCTGAAAACAGGCTATATCTTCCTAAATTGCTTTGGAGATGAACATTTTGTTGTATGACAGTGATTTATGACAATATTTTAAAGAAGTTCCACTTCTTTACTCATGCAGGTGAAAATGCCAATGAATTTTTTGAAGCTCAGTTCACAGATTTTAGGAGATACTGACCATAGGAGTATTCAGTTATCTCTGATAAGAATTTGGATCCCAAATTAAAAATTATTTGTCTAAGAGTAATAATTGGCCTTCACATACAGGGGCACGTAGAGGCCTGGGATGGGCAGTGAGGGAGTGACCAGGAGGCAACACATAAAAAATAATTTATATACAGGAGAAAACTGGCAACTTACAGACACTGCAGCTCACTGTACCAGAACTGTGACTTACAGATACTTCTACTACATAATGTTAGAGGTATCTCTTTAAAGTAGATTTCACATTAATTCAGTAGCTTAAGAACTTTTGTCATGGCAGCTTTATAATTTACTAGGTTCTTCAATATTTCTTTGCAGTTAATTCAGAGTCTCAAAAACTTTGAACACATCAAAGTCGACAAGGAGGGAAATGCTACTTTCAGCCTGGAGATGGAGCTGAAAAACAGCAACAGCAACGTTTACCTGCTCAAGGTGAGGGGGATGAGTTGGGCAGCAGCAGCTCAGAGCAGCCCCTCAAGTGTTCTGCAGAAAAGGCTTTGTCTGCTAGGCAGTGGCTGAGAGCAAATAAATGCCTTAAAGTTGCCAGTCTTTTGCAGATCCCTGCTTGGTTAGGGAGCAGTGTGGGTGTGGAGTGATCTTTGGTAGTGAATATCCCTGTGGATTTGCAGATCCAAGTACAGAGCATGCAGTCAGTTACTGACATCCTTGTCTCTTCAGGAAATTCATAGAACAGTTGAGTTGGAAGGGACCTTTTAAAGGTCAAGGGATCTTAAAACATTTCACCCCTGCCATGGGCAGAGACACCTTCCACTATGCCAGGTTGTTCCATGCCCTGTCCAGCCTGACCTTGGACACTTCCAGGGATGGGGCAGCCACAGCTTCTCTGGGCACCCTGTGCCAAGGCTTTCCCATCCTCATGGGAAAAGCTACTTTCTTATATCCTATGTATAGCCTGACCCTCCTTCAGTTTAAGACCATCACCCCAACAGTGTCTTTCAGGCTGCAGAAATTCTGCAGTTCCATATAAATTTCATTCACTTTCTCAAGTGTGTTATTGCACTATAACTCCCTCTGTGAAAGAAGATCTCAGAGATGTAAAACATTTCCTCTAGATCAATAGTCCCATGGATGGAATCTGCAGGTGCTCAGTGCTGGGTGTGTTTTTCTGAAAGATACTCTTTAGTCAAATTGTGGTTAGAGGCTTTAATCCAGGGGAAATCAGAATGCCCTGAAGGGGAAGACAGAGTAACTATGAATCTTCTGGATCAAATATATGACATGAAGTTGATGAGTCACAATTTGGACAATGTAAGCCAAGTGTGCTACATAAAGTGTTGAACTCTCGTGCTCATCCAGCTATGAGGATGCTGAAATCTAGAAAAGAAAGACCCTTGTCTTTGTAGCTGCAAGAACTGTGTATTAATTAAGTTCCAGAACCTTATGTGGGTAGCCAAGACCTGCTGTTTTGCTGAGTTTCAGAGCCTGGTGCCCTGCTCTGTGCAGGATTCACTGCCCAGACAGTGCCTGTGTACTGCAAAGAGCCCTGGGCACTGTGAGGTTACTTATTCATATCAACAAGGGGATTGTAGCAGCAACCTGTCCTGATGTGTTTGAAATGCCTGGCACTGGTTGAGCCTTTGTGAGGACACTCCTCCCCTGCCCTCCCCTGCCCAGGACGGCGAGCGGCTCCGCTACGGGACCGGGGATGAGTACAGGAAGCACTGCCTGCGGAGAGTTGGGAGGAGGTACTACTTCACTGTCAATGATGTGCAGCCAGAGGACGCAGGGGTGTACCAGGTCAGGGTGGAGGACGTCCCTGTCTTCTCAACTGAACTGGATGCTCAAGGTAAGGAATTCAGTTTGCTGGATGTGGTGTGCAACTGTGACAAAAGTTTGTTGTTTTTTTGGTTTTGGGGGTTTTTTTGTTTGGTTTTTTTTGTGTGGTTTTTTTTTTTTCTTTTTTTTTTGGAAAAGTGTGTCTAGGAGCAAATGCAAAGCTCAGTAGCTCCTGACCACCACAAAGGATTGGTTTTGTGCTGCCCAGTAAGGGCTCCTTGTCTGGTACAGGAAAAGGAGCAGGAAGGAGATTAAGTGCTTTAGGTGCATTTGCAGTCCAAGGGAGCAGGCCTAATCTCGAGTTCCAGTCTGGCTGTGGGTGACAGTGAGCACACTCCTTAACCTACCCCATATTACAGTTTGCTTCTGTGACCTCAGAATAATAACAACAAACTCAATCCAAGTATTGTATTGCAGGAACATATAAATTGCTACAGACTGGCAACACATCAGTGCTGTGAGGTACAAATGTCTCACAAGATAATAAAGACAGAGGGCTACTTTTCTGCTTTTCTGCAGAATTTGGCACAGAAGCACATCTGAGTTTTTCCTTTTTCTTAGTAACCCAATGTTCAGACGCACCACAACTTCCTGTTCTTTCCTCCTTCAGCTGTAGCAATTTTACTTGGAGCACAGAACCAGTTGTTTCCTTGTCATAGCTCTCGTTTCCCTGCAGCCATCCCGGCGCGGTTCCGGCAGCCGCTCTCCGACGTGCGCTGTGCCGAGGCCGGGGACGCCGAGTTCCAGTGTGTGCTGTGCACGCCCTGCCACCAGCCCCTGTGGCTGCACAAAAGCCACCCCCTCCAGGCCAGTGACAAGCACCAGATCTCTGTGACACCTGATGGCCTGACCCACAAGCTGACTGTCAGGAACGTGGGGCCCTCGGACAGCGGCCTGTACACGCTCGACGCGGGACAGGGCTCCTCCAGTGCCTGGCTCCTCGTGGAGTGTGAGTGGTTGGCAGTGGGTTGTTCCCATGGTGTGTTGGCACAAAACATTCTTCTCACTGCCTGATGGGTCAGGGAGATGTTGCTCTGCTGGGAAATGAATTGCTGAGCCTCTAATTCCAAAATTATGGCTGAGAAAACTGGGGGTGTTCAGTGTGGAGAAGACGAGGGTCCAGGGAGAGCTTAGAGCCCTTTCCAGTGCCTAAAGGGCTCCAGGAGAACTGCAGAGGGACTTTGGGAAAGGGATGGAGGGACAGGACTAGGGGGAATGGCTTCCCAGTGCCAGAGGGCAGGGTTAGATGGGATTTTGGGAAGGAATTCTTGGCTGTGAGGATGGGGAGGCCCTGGCCTAGGTTGCCCAGAAAAGCTGTGGCTGCTCCATCCCTGGAAGTGTCTGAGGCCAAGCTAGACAGGGCTTGGAGCAACCTGGGATAGTGGAAGGTGTCCCTGCACATGGCAGGGGGTAGAATGAGATGAGTCTTAAGGTCCCTTCCCATCCAAACCATTTTGTGATTCCATGATTCTAAATCCTGTTTGGAAAAATGAAGGTCTGGTTAGACCCTCTTTCTTCTTCAAATTAGACCAACTTTCCCCCTTTTAATTAGTCCTAACAAATCCTACTTGCTTGTTTGCTCTACAGATATGATGAAGTAGCACATTCTCCATCAGTTATTGGAAAAATGCTCCCTATGTACCCACATGTTTTTGAGGAAGCTGTCCCAGTGATCACAGTGCAGCAGACAGGGGCTCAGGGAGCTTTTGATACTCTCAGTTCTACACTATCAATGCCATTCTTCTTGCTAGATAATATTTTTCATTCCCAATTAGAGTTAAACATGCTGGAAGGAGCTCAGAGGAAGCTGGGAAGGTGGGAATACAGTGAAGGCACATTGATAGTCACCTGGCTTATATTTGTTTGCTTATGAAAGGTGGTTCCTTTGGTTCCCTTTGACTCTGGTTTCCTTTGGGATCCTCCTGCAGCAGCAGGAGGGGTCTCTCTTACAAAGGCCTCTCCAAAGCAATGTAGGTTTCTGAAACAAAGAAACTTCCCATGGATTTCAGTGAGCTGTGAGCTGTGATAAATTTTATCTGACCTGGAAACCAAAGCAGTGAGTGACCTGCTCTCAGAACAGCCTGAATTTCAGATTAATCCTAAGCTATTCACAGATCTGAAAGCTTTAATCCTCAGGCTGGGCATCCCTAAACCAGCCATTATCCAGATGTGCAAGCTACCTTCAGAGCAGTGGAATCCCAATTCCAGGGTGGGAACTGATGGCTCCTCTGTGCATGGAATATTCTGCAACTCCTCCATAGCTGGAGGGTGAAGGCAGATGGAATTAATGAATCCCACATACAATTTCAGCCCCGCTAAATCAGACCTGCCATGCTGGAAGTTTCTTTTCCTGTTATTTTTGGTTGGTTTGTTTGTTTGTTATAATGAGCATGTTTCCATTAAAAAACAATGTCTTTTTACTAAAAATAATTGTCTTTGACTAACATTTCTTTGTCTGAATGTGGCATTGAAAAATTAGGATTTGAAATTATTTTAAATGTATTTAAACGTACTGTGTGTGTGTGTGTGTGTGTGTCCTAAAATGAAATTCAAAAAGTGCTAATACATTTTCTTTGGTTGTTGATGCAGTGCATGTCCAATTGATTTTCTCTTATTTTGTTCCCTTCTTTTTCTGTAATTTGTAAATCTGCTGCCATGAAACAATGCAACTTCAGATGACAAAGGAAAGAGGAGACAGGATGAAGGAGAAAAGGCTGGAAGGGAGACATCTGAGTGGCTGAAAGAAGCAATGGCAGACAATGAAAGGGCGAGGAAGCTTCGTCGCCAAGAACAAGCTGCTGCTGAAGGTCGTTCTTCCTTTTCCACATCCTCTGGTGTGGAGAAAAGTGGCTGGAACAGAACAGGTCAAGGCAGCAGTCAAGGCAGGGGCCAAGTACACTCTGTTGATTCTGATGATGGAAGCCAAATATTTTTGGGAAAAGAAGGGCTACGCAAAACCCACATGAATGGAGAGATGGGGTCTGGGCAGTTTTCTGGAGCAGGTCTAGATGGAGACTCGGCAGCCAATGACGGCAGCATCTTTGGACTAAAAGGCTTAGGGGGCAGAAGTGGGTTAAGGGCTGTCCATGGCAGGGACTCTGTGTCAGGCAAAGCAGGTCCTGGTGGTGTTGTAGGAGGGGCAGGTGAATGGAATTCTGTGGATGGCAGAGGTGAAGGTTTGCTGGGTACTGTTAACATTGACATGGATGATGGAGAAGGTTTGGACTCTCAGCATGACAAGGATGGGAATTTAGATGATACCAGTTACAGAGCTGGTTTTGGGGGTGCTGGGAGGTTGGGTGGTGGAAGTTCTGGGCCAGATGGGCTTGATCCTGATTCAACTGGAGTGGGAGCCAGTGTGGGTGTTCTGTTCAGCAAGACTGATCCAAGAACTGGAGCTGGGGGGAATGCTGCAGTTGCTGGAATGGCAGGAGGAATGAGGGCCCAGCATGGCCAGGATGGGCATGCCACTGTGGGTGATATGATCGGAGCAGGTATAAACAGAGAGGGACAAACAGAGACTCCTTATGGCAAGGATGGCCTGACACCTCATGCCAGTGGTCAGTTAGGACAGACAGGAAGATCTGGCTCATTGTATGGGCCAGGAGGCCTTCCAGGTGGAGATGGGGCTACACCTGGTACAGGTGGCAACTCCACAGGAGAAATTGAGGCTTTGTATGGTCCAGGTGGTCAGGCACTGAGAACAGGTGCTGGTGTTGTGGGTGGAGCTGGTGCAGGGGGATTTGGGTCTCCCTATGGAAAGGATGGTCTCCCAGCTGGGGCTGGTTTTGGTGGGGCTGGTGGTCCAGGGGGACTTGGAGCTCCCTATGGGAAAGATGGTCTTCCAATTGGAGCAGGTGCTGGTGGTGCAGGGGGACATGGATCTCTCTATGGAAAGGATGGTCTCCCAGCTGGGGCTGGTGGAGCTGGTGCAGGAGGATTTGGAGAGGCTTTGTATGGTCCAGATGGTCGACCACTTGGAGCAGCTGTTGGTGGTGGTGCTGGTGCAGGGGGATTTGGAGTTCCCTGTGGAAAGGATGGTCTCCCGCTTGGAGCTGGTGTTGGTGGAGTTGGTGTAGCTGGTATAGGGGGATTTGGAGCTCCCTATGGGAAGGATGGTCTTCCAGCTGGAGCAGGTGCTGGTGGTGCAGGAGGATTTGGGGAGGCTTTGTATGATGGTCGGCCACTTGGAGCTGCTGTTGATGCTGGTGGTAGTGGTGCTGCTGCAGGGGGATTTGGATCTCCCTATGGGAAGGGTGGTCTCCCAGCTGGAGCTGGTGGAGCTGGTCTAGGACTTGGAGAGACTTTGTATGGTCCAGATGGTCAGCCACTTGGAGCAGGTGTTGGTGGGTCTGGTAGTACAGGGGGACTTGGATCTTTGTATGGAAAAGATGGCCACGCAGCTGGGGCTGGTTTTGGTGGTGTTGGTGCAGGGGGACCTGGAGCTCCCTATGGGAAGGATGGTCTTCCATCTGGAGCTGGTGGAGCTGGTGCAGGAGAACCTGGAGAGGCTTTGTATGGTCCAGATGGTCAGCCACTTGGAGGAGGTGTTGGTGGTGCTGGTTCTGTGAGTGCCAGGGGAGCTGGAGCTCCCTATGGAAAGGATGGTCTCCCAGTTGGAGCAGGTGCTGGTGGTGTTGGTGGTGCAGGGGGTGTTGGAGCTCCCTATGGAAAGGATGGTGTCCCAGTTGGAGCAGGTGTTGGTCATGCAGGGGGTGTTGGAGCTCCCTATGGAAAGGATGGTGTCCCAGTTGGAGCAGGTGTTGGTGGGACTGGTGGTGAAGGGAGAGTTGGAGCTCTTTATGGAAAGGATGGCCTGCCAATTGGGACTGGTGGTGGTGCAGAGGGAGTTGGAGGTCCCTATGGAAAGGATGGTGTCCCAGTTGGAGCTGGTGTTGGTGGTGTTGGTGCAGGGATACCTGGAGCTCCCTATGGGAAGAATGGTCTCCCAGCTGGAGCAGGTGCTGGTATTAGTGGTGCAGGGGCAGTTGGGCTTCCCTACAGAATGGATGGTCTCCCAGTTGAAGCATGTGTTGGTGGCACTGGTGCAGGGGGATTTGGGTCTCCCTATGGGAAGGATGGTCTCCCAGGTAGAGCTGGTGGAGCTGGTGCAGGAGAACCTGGAGAGGCTTTGTATGGTCCAGATGGTCAGCCACTTGGAGGAGGTGTTGATGGTGCTGGTTCTGTGAGTGCCAGGGGAGCTGGAGCTCCCTATGGAAAGGATGGTCTCCCAGTTGGAGCAGGTGCTGGTGGTGTTGGTGGTGCAGGGGGTGTTGGAGCTCCCTATGGAAAGGATGGTCTCCCAGTTGGAGCAGGTGCTGGTGGTGTTGGTGGTGCAGGGGGTGTTGGAGCTCCCTATGGAAAGGATGGTCTCCCTGTTGGAGCAGGTGCTGGTGTTAGTGATGCAGGGGGAGTTGGAGGTCCTTATGGAAAGGATGGTGTCCCAGTTGGAGCAGATGTTGGTGGGACTGGTGATGAAGGGGAAGTTGGAGCTCTTTATGGAAAAGATGGTCTGCCAATTGGGACTGGTGGTGGTGCAGGGGGAGTTGGGGGTCCCTATGGAAAGGATGGTCTCCTACCTGGGGCAGTGGCAGGAGCTGCTCATTTTTCTCCTGGAGGTGAGGAAGCGATGGGATCTGGCCGTGGCATGGATGCCGCACTGAGCAGGGCTCCGGGATATGCAGGTGGAGCAGGAGGAGAGGGCTTTTCCAGGGAAGGCTCTGCAATGTGGGGTGCAGGGTCTCCCTATGGTGAGGACAGAGGGTCAGCTGTAGCCACAGCTGGTGCAGGTGGAGTTGGGAGGTTGGGAGGGGATGAATGGGATTCAGTCCATGGTAAAGGAGGTGTGGGACCTGCTGGTGGACCAGGTGGTGAATATGGGCTGGATGCACATCTTGGCAGATCTTCGAGAGGTGAGACTGGAAAGGGCACTGCCAGTGATGTCAGAGGACTAGGGAACAAAGGTTCAGCTGGTGACAGAGGGTCCCTGTCTGGTCCAGGAGGAGCCTGGGGAGAGGGCAGAGATTTCAGACAGTTGGGCTCCTTTTATGGCACAAATTCTGCCTTTGGAGAGGCAGGGAGTAAATCCCATGACAGATCTGTTGACGGGAGTAGTTCAGATGGGTTTGGTCAAGGTCCACTGAGTTATGGCCAGGTGTCAGGTCCTTTTGGTGGACCTCCTTCAGCAAACCAGAGAAACCAGGAACCTGATGTGGATCTTAAAGCAAATGATTCCCTGAACAAGACGGAAAGCACAGCACAAAAGAGACGGAGTGTCCTGGATGATCTCAAAGGTACGTGGTTAACTGGAGACTCTTGGTCTTTGCATTTTGATACGCACATTCTTAATCCTGCAAAGAAATTGGATGTTACAGTTTAGATAAACACAACTCTATAGAAATTTGGTTGTTCCATAATCTGTTCCTAATTCTCCCACTGATTGGCTGTTTGATCTTACACAGTGTGCTCTGATCAAACTGTCTTAAAGGTCTAAATTATTTTCTTTGTCTAAATGATCTAAACCAGGTCTCATCTCTTCATTTGTGTTTCACATATCATGGAACAGACCAGTTCACAAACATACCAGTTCCCATAAGGTTTCAAGGAATATCATGACTTTTCATACTCTTCCAATTAAAAACTGAGGGTTTCACTTTGTTTTTCAAACACCTACTGTAAAGAACTGTGTTTTCCAAGTTCTGGGAACAATTCTGTGCTTGCTTATTTGGGATTATATAATGTCAAGAGCTCTTTTCTCTTGTAACATCAGGAATAATAAGGTGTTGCATAGAGTAAGAGGGTAGTAATGTGTTTGCAGCCATTTGAGTAAGACCTGTGGCTCCAACAGCAAGATGATGATGTGAAAATTGTAGGAATGGAAGTTTCAGGTGTATAATCAGAGTAGAATATTGACCTAATGGGATGGTTCACAAGTTAGGAATTATCATTGCTGAACCATAAATATAAACAAGTAAGTAAAATCATCAAAATTGTGGTTCAGGGGGAAGGAGTGGGGTTTATATTAGAGAGGAAATGATGATGGTAATGGAGAAGACCTTGGGAAGAGAAAGAAGAATACAAGGGTGGAGAACAGCGTGCCTGGGGCTCTTTAGGGGATGTGTTGGCAAGCCCCAGTGCAGAGGAAGAGGAGGATGAAGCAGTATATCCACACCCTGGAGCAGCCTGTTTTTTTCCACTGGCTGTAGATGGGGCCAAGACAATTAGCAAAGACATAAACTAGCAAATCTACAGCTGGATAATGTGATTTGTGGTGAATCCATTGTCCATGAGGTGGATGTTGGGATATAGTTGATGTTGGGATGGCTCTTAGGCACTCAGTGTACCCAGCTGGCCTACAGCGAGGTGGCACAAAAGCCTCTCCTGAGCAGAGGACATTTTTTTTAAAAGCTCTTTTTACTTCACATGCACATGCATTTTCATCTCTAGGTGTCTCTCTGTAACACAGACTTAGCTTTTTCCCTTCCTTTGTGCCTGTTCAGTCCCACGCTGTTACCTCAACAAGCAGCTGGCAACTGTGCGGGTGCTGAAGGGGGAGCCAGCTGAGCTGTCCTGCACTGTCAGCAAGGACAACGTGACAGGAACCTGGTTTAAGGATGGCCTAAAGGTGGGTCTCTTGAGCTTGCTGTTTGCTTTGGGTAGCAATGTTCTGCTCTCTAGCTCTACTTCCTAAGGGTGGTGTCAAGGTGTCCTTCCTCCTGACAGTCACCTGCAGTCTGACTGGGGCCCTGGAAGGGTTCTCAGAATCCCAGAGTGGTTTGGGTTGGAAGGGACCTTACGGATCATCCAGTCCCAGCCCCTGCCCTGGGCAGAAATACCTTCCAGTAGACCCAAGCCTCATCCAACCTGGCCTTGGACACATCCAGGGATGGGGCAGCCACAGCTTCTCTAGGCAACAGAATACCAGAATATTGTCCTTAAATATGCATGATATTCGTGAGTCTTTTCAACTGCCTTTCAAATTGTAGTCTGTCCAGTTTTAGTTTGGATTGCATTTTTTCCTTTTTTTTAAAAAAGGATAGGTCTCTGTGCTTTACTTTGTAGTTAACAAGCATGGATGGAGTCGTGTTTGAAAAGAAAGGTCTTGTCCACAAACTGATCATTAACAAGGCTGAAGATATTCATGCTGGGAAATACAGGTTTGAAGGTGGAGATGTAAAAACTGAAGCTTCAATTTTTGTTGAAGGTGAGTCTACTCAACCCACCTAGGCGGCATGAGATGGGCTTCAAACCAACTCAGAGACATGTTATTGGTTATTGAGATAAATTTATTATAAAGAATTACAAGATAAATGGGCAATGGTTTTTGTATGGGTTCATTTATTTTGCATTTGCAAATTTAACTAGGGTCCCTTCTGTCAGCAACTCAAATATTTTTGAGGTGCACAAAATACTTTATCAGGGCCGACTCTTCATTCTTGTGTTTAGTGTATTGCCTAGGAGAAATTTTCTCTTGTGAAAGGACAGTGTGATACCACAAAATTTTGTGATAATTATCCTGTAGCAAAGTACAACTAAAGGTTCAGATCCAAGTGTTGTGGGCTTCTAAGCATTGCTGGTAGCACCATGAGGGGATCCCTTCCCTCCAAGATAAGCTTCATCCTCCTTGAATTGTGGTTTTTAATGACCTTGTATCACCTGCTTAGATCCTCCCCAGGTGGACAAAGTTCTCCTCAAGAACTTGACCAGTGTCCCCACAGTGGCCAAGGCCGGGGAGGGGGTGAAGCTGCGGATCCCATTCGAGGGTCGGGGGCCCATCAGGGCGGCGTGGATGAAGGACAGGATGGAGCTGGGGGATGACACCAGGATCCGTGTGGACAAGACAGACACCTGCACCACGCTGTCCATCTCCAGCTGCGACAGGAGGGACTGTGGGGATTACAAAGTCAGGCTCAAGAACGACAGTGGTGTCCTGGAGATCAACCTAAAACTCGTGGTGATAGGTAAGATCCTGTAACATTCACTGTGGCTTTCACTGTAAAGCTTAGCCAGGGAATCCACTGACACTGGTGACAACCTTATTTGGAGTGACTGGGTATTTCGAGACAAACAAGACTCTGGATATTGCCCTGAAATCAGGGTACAAGGAAAGATTGCTGAACATGCTTCATGCCCTTTAGTACAAGGGAACACAAACCTAGTTTGGTTTTTCATGGCCTAAGCAGCTGAGTTTTGAATGTTCAGACACTGTGGGAGATGTGACTGTACACAAATGCAAATCTGAAATAGGATATCAAGGTTCAATTCAGCCCTCCTATAAATGTCTGGGCTCCTTTGGGAGACCAGAAATCAAATTTTGTCTGTATTAGCAAACTGAACTGGTGCAATTCTTATGAGAACTATTGACCCAGGGAGAGCAAGGGCCTGGCTTTCCATCTTCTCAATAAAAAGTCAGAATAGTACAAGTTTGGAAGAGGAAATTCACACACCCAGCTCTCACCCTACAACTGTGCCTACATTTCATCAGGAACAGTCTCCCAGCTAGTGAGCATGGGACAGTGTCTGCTCCAAACCCAGGAGCAGGTCTGGGTCTGGAGCTGGTTGTGTCTCTGTTCATCTTTCCAGACAAGCCACAGCCTCCAGCAGGACCCATCAAAATTGTAGATAGCTCTGCCAACAACATCACAATCCAGTGGAAGCCCCCAAAGGATGATGGGGGCAAACCAGTACAAAGGTATCTCGTGGAGAGGCAGCAGGTGGGCAGGAACGACTGGGAGATACTGGGAGAAACCCCCAGGAGCTGCACCAGCTTCACCATGAACAAAGTGGAGGAAGAGATGAGCTACTACTTCAGGGTGAGAGCCATGAATGCCGAGGGAGTGAGTGATGCGCTGGAGTCAGGGGAAGTGAAGGCTGCTGGTAAAGGTGAGGAGAACTTCTCATAATCCGTAATTCAAATTAGGAAATTCATTATCAAAGATGACATCAGAGGAAACTCACTGCATTGTGGATGTTGCTACAGATCTCAACTTCAGTCTTTACACAAAGCTGTGGAAGTTGCCCAGCAAGAGCAGCAGTTCGTTGTACGCTCTGCTGATGCTGAGATGTAATTATTCCTTGGTCGTGCTCCATTTTGGATTGGAAAGGAATTTCATGGGGGAAATGCAACATGCATCAAAATCAAAGGAAAATTTTCCAGTGTGGCTTCAAAGGGAATATGTGAAGCCTTTTCTTAACTCCACAGGCAGAAGAACTTATATGTGCAGCCCTTCTCAGCATGACCACTCCATTTCCCTGATCTCCAAACAACTGAATATTGGTTTTGTCCTTCAAGGGGTTTAAATACTAGAACAGGTTTACCATGAGCACAAACACAGTACTAGAGAGAGCAATGTTCAGTTCTAATTATCCTATTTTTCAATTTTCATTCTCATGATTCTGTATCTTGAACACTTTAGCAGAGGGCAAAGAAAATCCATTTTGTTACCAGTTCCTGTTGTTGAAAGCAGGATTGATGCTGATTGTTTATATGTAGGAATGACACACCCCACTGGCAGAGGAATTGTCAGTCCTGATGACAGCAGGTCTTTTGTGAAATCCAACCTCAGGAACAGAGTCCATGCTGGATCCAGTTTGTGTGGGGAACAGGATCCACAGCTTCAGGTCTCAGCCAAGTTTTCCTGAACATCCATAGGAATACCTGGGGGAATCTGGAAGAAGAAATTACAAACAACACCATTTTATCTTGCCGTAAAAACATACCTGCTAATAATGAAGCCCTCATCTCTTTGTAGCTTCCCCTGGTGCCCCAGATCCCCCTGAGATCATCAGTGCCAGCAGAGACACCATCACCATATCCTGGAAAGCTCCTTGTAAAACTGGCACTTCCCAAATTATGGGATACATGGTTCAGAAACGCAAGAAGGGCACTGTGACCTGGCTGCCAGTCACCAACGTGCCTGTTAAAGGTGGGTATTCTGACTCCTGGAACAGCCTGGTGGATTTGAAAAGGCAAAAAGGTTTAGGAGCTGCTTAGAATCTTGCACCTTTAGTATCAAGGTGGTGATGGGTCACTTTGGACGTCTTTACTTGTCAGAATCTGTGGGTATTGATGATTCCAAGATTGTAGAAAGTCTCTGTCTGTCAGCCCCGTTGCCAAAGCAGAAGCCATAATTGGTCTGTGCTGTTTCAAGGTTGTTTATTCTGTTTATCTCTAACATGTTCTGCTGCCCTGCCGCAGCTCTGTCCTGCAGGGCAGCGTGTGGGGCTCTGCCCTCAGTGGGATGGTACAAACATTAAATACCACAAACTACCTGTGCTGGATTTACAATAACGTGCCAATATCTGTCACCTACGTTGGACAGTGTGTCCCCAGCCTAAACCAACAGAAAAATGCCAACACCACAGTGAAACATGGAGGGCATGAAGAAGGAGAAAAAGGACAAGACACACCCAATTTCCTCCATCTTGTCCCCTCTGAACCTCTAATCTAGAAACCTAAAATTTTACTTTTGCACCCATGCCACACTTAATTATTACTTATATCAAACACTCAGAGCTTGTAATTCATCCTGTAAGATTGAAAACTCTTTTCCATGGACACAGATCAGAGACAGTGTCTCTCGGGGCTCTGTACAGGGGGTTCCTGACCCCCTGCCAGGGTCCCAGGCCCTCCAGGGCAGACAGAGAGAAGCCCTGAATTCCCACATTTACCAACTAAATGATTCTGGGATTCTGTGATTCAAGGGCTGTTTGATTTTGAAAGGAATACAATGAACACATCCCATAAGATCACATGCGCTTGGATAAGGAATGGCAGGGTAATCAATGACAGCTTTTATGGCTCCTGAGAGTTTTTCAGTCCATAATTCTGCGTGAAGTAAGGCACAGCTTTGTTGTGTCACCTTTCCTCATGGGAAACAGCTCCCCTGAGGCAACACATCTCCTTTCCTTTCCTCTCCTCTCCTCTCTCCTCAGACAAGAAACTGAAGGTGACCAGCCTCAAGAAGGGTGTGCAGTATGAGTTCCGCGTGGCAGCTGTCAATGCTGCTGGCACAGGACAGCCCAGTGACCCCTCAGAGCCTGCCTTTGCCCGGGACCCCACCAGTAAGTGCCCTGCCCTGTTCTCTGCTTTCAGGGTATTCGTGGAGAGATGTTTTTAAATCCTCTATAAAAGTGTGTGGAGACAAGGATCAGTAATTCGGGAATGTTTCATGGCTGAGAATCAGTTGGAGGAAGGAATGGAAGGATTTCCTGTAGGATGTCCAAGTCAAAATTTGGCAGATCCCAGTGTGGGGTAATATGCAGTGTGGAGGAACACTCAGGAGGGCCACAGAGTGTTTTGGAATGTTGTGGATTTACTGCAGGGCTGGTAGGAACAAGGACCTAAATCCAGCTCTGAAGAACTGGGACGAGGTGGGGCAAGACAGCATGGCAGAAATCCAATGCACAGCAAGAATGCTGGGGAATCTCAGGCAGTGACTGAAGAGGGAAGAGAAATCCTAGAAAAATCATTTAAATAAAATTTCTCCATCCAGAATCTCCAGGCCAAGTGCAGGACCTTAAAGTGAGCAGCAGTGACAGCAGCAGTGTCACCTTGACATGGAACAAACCTGAAGTACAAGATGGGAATGATGTGAAAGGCTACGAGGTGGAGATGAGGCGCTGTAACAGCCTCAGCTGGACCAAGTGCTTCACACTCCCTGCAGAGAGCACCTCGTGCAGGGTGCAGGGCCTGCAGGCCAGGGAGAAGCTGTTCCTGCGCGTGAGGGCCCTCAGCGACGGCGGCCCCGGGGAGGCCTCGGAGCTGCAGGCGTGTGCTGGAGCTGCTGCTGCTGCCGTGGGTGAGTCAGGGCCCCAGGCTCCGTCCCGGGAACGGGGCACTCATCCTGGGGCTCTGTCCCTGGGAATGGGGCACTCATCCTGGGGCTCTCTCCAGGAATGGGGCACTCATCCCGGGGCTCTCTCCAGGAATGGGGCACTCATCCCGGGGCTCTGTGCCCGGGAACCAGGCACTCATCCCGGGGCTCTGTGCCTGGGAACGGGGCACTCATCCCGGGGCTCTGTGGCCAGGAACGGGGCACTCATCCCGGGGCTCTGTGCCCGGGAATGGGGCACTCATCCCGGGGCTCTCCCCATGAACGGGGCACTCTCTGGGAGCAGGGGCAGCCGGGCTGTGGGATACCAGGGGGAGCTGCCCCCAGACCCAGCCCAGCACAGGGCACACTGCTCCTGCTCACCACGGGGTTATCTGCTCACCTCAGCAGAGTGCTCTCAATATTAACTGATATTAGATATGCAGTGCACAGTGCTCAGCTCATTTAGAGGCTCCTTTGGATAAAACAATCCTCAGAACTCCATTTTCTCCTTGGGCTTACGTTTTGCCCCCTGTGCCCACACCACAGTCACCAGACAGAGCCCTGCTTGCACTCTTCCAAGAGAAAAATAGAGTTTTCACTCAATTTTTAGGCAATCTTCTGAAATGAAACATTTTGTTTACTTCTCTTAAATCACATTTTTTAATGTTGTTTTTGGATACTTTATTTTACTTTTTAATTGTTTAGCTCTAAAGTTTTTACCACTTTTACTTTTCCATCTTTATTTACAATCTGCAGCTCTGTTTTTTCCCTCCTCTTTGGGAACATCGCAGAATTACAGATGTAAGAGATAGTTCTGTGATGGGTTCAGTTTTCTTAGCTTGGATCCCAAGTGAAAATGTCTACTTTGGCATATGCCTGGAGACCCCATTTATCAATAAAAAAACTAAAATAAATAAAATCAGATAAATCTATCTAAAGCAGGTGTTCACTTTTATACTGAAACACTAAATACAATTTAGCATTACTGTATTTGGTATTCTTAGATAAATACTAACTGCTGCAGTATATGGATGAAAAGAGAAAATACTTTAAATGCTAAAAAATACTATTTTAGATAAACTCTGGCAGCTTTCATGTGGATTTTCTGTGCTCTTTACTGCATATATATTTTATAAGTGTCCATTGGAATTTCCTTTTTCCAGAAACCATTTAAACAGAAAAGATGATCCCTGGGATGGGATAAAGTGTGGCAAAGAGCCAATTTCTCTGTGACTGAGACATCACATGAATACAGAGATTGTTGTGAATGTATTTTTACATCATTTTCCCTTGTTTAGTCATGGTGATAAATAAATAGTAACGAAATTTGAAATTAAATTTTAAAAAAATTAATTATTTTTTTTTTTTAATGAAATTTGACTTGTGTAAAGTCTGGAACTGAACCAGGGAGATTTTTCCCACTGTGAGTCTCTCACCTGCCTCACCTAGTTGGGAGAGGCACCAGTGGGTAGAACACTGATTGTCACCAGTGACTGCACCAACATCCACCTTTTGGGAGTAATCTTTGTCTCTTCCAGTCTCTCCCAGGTTACTGATAGATGACACAGTGAAAAGCTTCCTGGTTATAAAAGCAGGAAATCCCATCCGGGTGAAGATTCCCTTTGAGGTGGGTATTCAGGGCTTTGGAGGAATTCCCTGCCTGGTTTTATAGCAGACAGGAAAACTGAACCACTGTTTTAATGTCATGGAATTTTATTTGCAAGTCACTGGGAAAATAATTTGGCCTGCCTGTGCTGTGTAGACTTTCAGGGTGAGGAAAGCACAAGCCAGAATTCAGCTGTCAGTCTTGGCATTGGTGTTTTATGACATTGTGGTCATTCCTTAACCTCTGCAGACAAGGCTCAGTGCTGTCCACTTAGCCTTAGCAATGTTATCATCATCTGCTACTGCTCTGTCAGACTTCCCAAATCAGTGATTTCCCTGTGACTCCCTCAGAAGGCCTTGGGGCACCATTTCCAGCAACACCTTCACTGGGCTTGTCTCACCAAGCAGCAGCACTTGAGCTCTGTGACTTGAGAACTTGGCAGGCACTGACAGAAATCTCAGAGCTGTGGAGTAAGCTTGGAACAACACAGGTTTTTCCACATGGGAAGTGTGGTCAGGCTTTGGAAGGGGCTGCCCAGGGAGATTTGGAGTCCCCATCCTTGGAGGTGTCCAAGGAGCTTCTTTTATGTAAAAAGTGTAGAAGTGCTTTTAAGGTGGGGATAGGGCATGGGTTGGACTCGATGGTCTTGGAGGTCTTTTTCAGACATAAATGATTCCATGATCCTGTGAAGTCTGGGATACCAGAGGAGGATGATGAAGTGTGTGTATTTGCTGGCCTTTCTCCTAATCTCTGGGATAAGAGACCAAAGATGGCACAATGGAAATAAAGACTTAGATAATGTTTTTTTTTCTTTCCAAAACCAACAGATCTTTTTTTAAAAGCAGAAAATACTATCTCCTGAAGTTATCTGTCCTTGATCTGGCATAGATTGCTTGACACAGTTCTGAACACTTTACTGCAATTACATCCTTAAAGGACAAAAAGGAATAAAAATTGTAAAGAAACTGTAGAACAGATCAGGGCTCTCAGATCCATTGTGGATCTGCATTTCTAAACAATACTATGTTGTGGAGGTGCATATTCGGGGTAAGATAATGAAACTAAAGATATAGGACACAGTCTGGAGATGAAACAAGTGGCTGTGAGTCGTTGTTGTTCCCAGGGATCTCCGGAGCCGGTGGTAACCTGGTTAAAGGATGGGCTCCCCCTTCCCAGCCGGGCTGCCGTGAGCACCGAGGATGGGAGCAGCCAGCTGCTGCTCAGGGCAGCTGAGTACAGTGACAGCGGCACCTACACCGTGGAGCTTGGGGATGGGCTGGGGAAAAGGGAAACCTTCAGCTTCCAGGTTCAAATTACAGGTTTGTAACTCACTGCCATCCATACAAATCTACCAGCAACTCCCTGCCAATCCAGGCTGGGGCATGAAGGGACTGAGAGCAGTCCTGGGAGAAGGATGTGGGGGTACTGGTGGATGAGAGCTGGACATGCCCTGGGCTGATCCCCCAACATGGGCAGCAGGGGAAGGGGAATTCTGCCCCTCTGCCCTCTCAGGTGGTACCCCACCTGCAGAGCTGCCTCCAGCCCTGGGGGACTACAGCAACAGAAGGATGTTGAGCTGCTGGAGCAATTCCAGGGAAGGCCACAGAGATGCTCCAAGGGCCGGAGCCCCTTTGCTCTGGAACCAGGTTGGGAGAGCTGGGGAGATCTTAGAGTTCCCTCCAGTGCCTAAAGGGGTTCCAAGGGAGCTGGAGAGGGACTTGGGACAAGAGCCTGGAGGGACAGGACAAAGGGGAATGGCTTTTCACTGCCAGAGGGCAGGGTTAGATGGGATATTGGAACTCCTCCCTGTGAGGGTGGTACAGGTTGCTCAGAGAAGCTGTGGTTGCCCCTGGATCCCTGGAAGTGTTCAAGGCCAGGTAGGACAGGACTTGGAGCAACCTGGGATAGTGGAAAGTGTCCCTGGCCATGGCAGGGGGTGGGACTGGATGGGCTTTTAGGTCCTTCCCACCCAAACCAGTCTGGGATTCCATAATTTACTATGAGTAGGCAGAAGGCCACAAACTGAGTTTGGCAGGGTGAGCTCTGATGCAGTTTGTGCAAGCACAGGGAGAACCAGGGTACAGTTTTCTATGAGATTGTCTAGGCACTTTATGATCTCACTTATCTGCAGGACAGAGCAATCCACTGACTAAAACTATCCTTCCACAGTGAATGAGGGAGGTCAGCACAGGCTGTAGGACATGGAGCACAGCTCTCCCAGCTGTGACCCCAGCAGGAGAAGCAGCTCAGCTGTACCACCCTCCTCTCACCACTCAGCCAGTGCAGATGTTGTGCAGCAGCAGCTCAGTTCATAGCAAATGCATTTGTGTGCCTGGAGAAGGAATGGCATTTTGTCCCTTTCAGGGACCAGGATGCTCACTGAGCCCCATGCATGCAACAGACTCCAGGATTTTAGGGTTCTGTGCCACTGTCCCTACAGCTGTGACATTGTGTGACCTCCCCTGGCAGATATCCCTCAGCCCCCTGGAGCCATCCGACTGGAGGAGAACGTGCCCAACACGGTGACAGTGACCTGGGACCCCTCAGCATCTGAGCAGTGGGAGAACAACCTGTATTACACTGTCCTGAAACGGGAATCCCAGAAGGGCCTGTGGCATGTGCTGGGAGATCTGATCTACAACAACAAGTTCACCTTCACCAGGGTGGTCCCAGGCAGGGATTATTACTTCAGGGTTGTGGCAAAAAATGAGCTGGGAGCCAGTCATCCATCAGAGACTGTGCAGCCATGGAGGATCTTGAAAAAAAAGGGTAAAACATTTTCAAGTATTTCTCTGTGTTGTGTTTTGTTTCTTTCATTGCTTCTAACACCTCACCCTCAAATGGGTCTCTCCTCCTGTGAATATTCAGTGGCCCAGAACAGGAATGTACAGAGATGTCCTAAGGAATTCCAGCTGGGCAGGGAAGGTTTGTTCTTTCTGCAGGGACATTGTGTAGACAGACCCTTCATTCCCAGCCATGATGACATGCAATTTGCCTCAAAATGAATTCCCAGCAAGATCTAAGGCTTTAGTATTGTAGAAACCAAAGTTTCTGGCTTCAAAGTTAAATGTTGAGTAATTCTGAGGAGCAGCAGAGGCTACAATCCATAGGTGCATGGGATCTCTGATAATTTGCATGATTTCAGACACTGCACAAAAAAACCTCTTCAAACATTGCAGTGCTGGGAGCAATATCTGAGTGTGTGTTTGCTGCTGTTTATTTTTCACAGCTGAATTTAGAGTGAAAACACAGAAATACAGAGGAGTCAACCAGAACCAGCACCCGAGGTTCCTGGTGCCACTTAAGTCACACGTGGTGGTGATGGGCAGCGAGTGTCACATGAGCTGTGCTGTTGGAGGCCATCCCCCACCAAAAATCACATGGTACAAGGACAGCAGAGACCTCTCCAGAGATCCCAACTACTTCTGCACCAACGACTTTGGAGTGTGCTCGCTGGTGGTGCTGGGGGTCACCAAGCAGGATGAGGGGGAGTACATGGTGGAAGCTAGCAACGAAGTGGGCCGTGCCTTCAGCAAAGCCTTCCTTGCCATCAAAGGTAACTCTGCAGTGCTGCTTCCCTGGCGGATCCAGGGGTGTCACTGCTGCCCAGGGCCTCAAAAATGGTCCCCAGTCAGCTCCACCTGCTGACAAAGCAATGGTACATTTGGGCTATTTAACTGAATTCCTAATCATGGTACTCATGATCAAGTACCAAACAGAACCAGAAGAAAAGGCAGATGGGAAAGACCACTTGATTTCTACATGACCCAGAGGTTTTGGCTGAGCTTGAGCAAATTTTTTAGAAGGAACGATCCCATCTTCATTAGGTAGGATAATATCAATGTTAGATTTTTCTCGAGTGCAGGAGTTGCAGAATAAAGACCCTGGCAAATGTGAGGGGAGCATTGAGAGAACAGCTGATGTTTGGCCAAAGCCAACACAAAGGGAGAAAAGAGGGGGCCATGGTCAGAGGCACTGGGATCCTCATGTGGATGGAAGGGCAGTGGGATTGGCTGGGGATAGACTCTTGGATATACTTATGGATAAATATTATTGGTGACTGCACCCAGTGAAATATCCTTTACTTGGAGTCAAATATTTTTCTTTCAATGCAAAACACCTTGCTGGGATTACAGGAGTGGCAAAATGGGTTAGTTAAACCCCGTTCCCCTCTTGCAGACTTTTAGGCCATGTAACATTTCAGCTCCCCCTCCCAGGGAGCTTTTCAGACTATTTCTGATCTCCCTCAGTACAACCCTGAGCTGCTTCTCTCTTATTCTCACTTTCAGACTCCTCCCTGTAGCGTGGCCCTGATGAGAGTATCCCTGTATGGCTCTGAGGATGAGAAGGTTTTGGTGAGGACCCATCCATATGAAGGCTGTGCATTTATTGTCAGATGTTCTTCACAGTCTAAGGGTGTTATTTTTCAGATCCAGTAATTGCATGTCGAGCATAGTGCTGCATTGCCATCAATACTGGGGGAAAAAATCTTTAAGAGCACTGTTTTGTTTTTGTTTTTTTTTTAATGATCAGGCTTTCTATGAGACCTTTAAAACACAGCTTAGAAGCTTCAGGAGCACAGATGATGAAAGGAAAAATAATTGGCCAAAATGAAACTTTCCATGGAGAACACAGGTGGGAGAGACCATCCTGCCACACCACTCACCTGCAACAAGGACCTTTCTGGACATGACATATCTAATATCAGGGATCTCTGGTCCTTTCACATACGCTTTTTCAAGCCAAAACAATCACTTTGGATTCCATGTGATTCTCTGCGGGTTTCCCAAATCTGGCAATAGCAGTTCTGCATATGTTCTACTACCAGTATCTAACATACCTACTGCTAAGTAGATTATCTTCCCTAACCCCTAAGTTTAAAAGATCATCTGCCTGCTCATTTTGTCTGGGAAGGAGATGAAACCTCAGACCAGCCTGGCATGGGGTAGGTGAAGCTCCCAGTACAAATGCACTGATGGGAAGGATTGGCAGTCTACAACCACTGTGTGAGCAGAGCAACTCGCAAAATCCACAGCATGTGCTGTACCAAGGCTGTGTCAGTCCTGAATCACCCCCAGCATCACCTGTGCATCCCAACTGCCCCTGGTCATGGCACTGCTGGAAGCCTTTGCCTTGAGCAGAAAGAGGTGAAAAATCCTTCCTGTCTGACCAGATATACGAGGGATCCCCAGGGACCTCCTGCCATGGCCAGGGGTTGCCATCACTGGGCCTGGACAGCAAAATGTTCTGGTGGCTGTAGGAGGGTGTCACAGCCAGAGCACCAAGGGTACTTTGTGACAGGAGAGAGCAGAGCCAAACACAGCTGTGGGGCTGGAATGTTCTTGGGATTATGTTTTTGTACAATGAACAGATGTACATTGCTACAGATGTAGCAGCAGTAGATAATGAAATTAAACCACAATTCAGTGAAATCTACCCCGAGTCCTTGTATATTCTGGAGAAGGAATCCCAGTCTGTTTCAGGATCCCTACCTGCTGCAGTTTCACATCCAATTGCTGCACATGGTCATCCCTCATGGAATTGCTCCTGCAGCACCTCCTCCTGTGGGGCTGGAAGCAGGAGGACATCACCTGCTGTAAAGACGTTAGAGGCTCCGTGGATGGTTTGGGTGGATACAGACGAGAGATCTCTGTTGGTTGCTCTTGGAGGATAAGGTTTATTCAGGATGGAGACAGGCCCTGCCTCGAGCTGCTAGACACAGCACATGGCCGGGCCTGAGGTAATGTGGGAGGGGAGAGACAAAGAGGGGAGCAGGGACTCCAGGATGGGGAATCCAGGAGGAGGAAGTTCCAAGAGGGGAGGGGAAGATCCAAGAGGCCCCTCGGAGGCCCCTTATCAAGGGGGGCTTCAAGGTGGGCTGGAACAGGACTTGGGCCAATGGGGTCACAGGCACTTGATGGTTCAGGGGAGGGTTACAGGTGTGGGGCGAGCCATACATTCTGGGAGTGAGATGGAACAGTCCATTTGGCTTTTAGACCCCTCTGTAGGTAAGGGTATTGTCCAGCCAGTCGGGGGCATGATATTCATCCTGGCTGTACTATTGTGGTTCTTCTGCTAGGCAATCATATTTGTCTATCCTTCCCAACAACCCACAGGGCATATTCGCTTCTTGATTGATAAACACAAGAACCAAGATTGATGGAAACTGGAATTGGAGCTGAGGGCAAGCCCTAGCACAGCAGGAGCAGGAGATTCCTGCAAGTTCTGCTGAGATGTCTGCAGCAATTCCAGCAAATCTGCTGCTGCTGCTTTACCCCGTGAGCTCCAATCCCAGCCCAAGGTGGATCTGTGGCGGGGAATCACCTCCAGCGTGGAAGGGCTGATCTTTGTGATCCGATCTTTGTGCTGGGCTGGACGGGACTGGGAGCATGCCGGAATACAGACGGTGTCACTGCCCATGGCAGGGGCGCACTGGGATGGATTTGGGGTTTCCCCCCAGGCCAGGCCTGGCTCTGGCACTGCTGGCGCAGCCCAAGTCCAGAGCCGGCGCTCGGCCCTGCGCCCCGCGCACAGTGCAGTGGTCTCTCCTGGGCCCCAGTGTCCCCGGCACCGCCCGCAGATGGTCTCTCCCACCCCGCTAGCAGGTCCCATCCCCGCACGTCCATCACACCAATGCCGCCAGGGATATGTCGATCCTCAGGGCCCTCCCTGACCCAGCCAATTGTAGCCCGCCCTGAGCCAAGATGGCAGTGCCCAGGACCAGGCCAAGTGGTCTCCTCGGCTCCTCTGTCTCTCGCAGACCCAGGGAGCGGCGAGCCCCGAGCGCTGGGTCTGTGCCTCTGCAGCGTCCCTCGGCGCTGGGTCTGTGCCTCTGCACATCCCTCAGCTCTGGGTCTGTGCCTCCACAGTGTCCATCGGCTCTGGGTCTGTGCCTCTGCACGTCCCTCAGCTCTGGCTCTGTGCCTCTGCACATCCCCTGGCTCTTGGGTCTGTGCCTCCGCAGTGTCCCACAGCTCTGGGTCTGTGTCTCTGCAGCATCCCTCGGCTCTGGGTCTGTGCCTTCAGTGTCCCATGGCTCTGCCCGAGGCTGCTCGGATGGTGAGAGCTGCTCTGGCCTCGGGGAGGTGCAGGCACCGGCCGGTGTCTGAAGGAGCGGTGGCAGCGTGGGATGAGGGAGGGGTGAGAGGGCGGGAAAATAACAGTAAAGAGAAGGAAAAACAGACAGAGGTGGCGGTTTGGGCCTGGGGCAGCAGCGAGAGGAGCTCTGTGACCACATGGGGAGCGTCCTGGGCTGGGAATGCCCAGCACGGCCGGGAATGCCTGGGACAGCCAGGAATGCACAGCACAGCTGGGGCCGGGCATGGAGCACTGGAGATCCCCTGGGTGGGGATACCGCCCTCCCTCTTGGATGAGCTTCCTGATCTGAGTTGCCATGTCCTCAGTCGTCTCTTGGGTATAGCCAGCAAGCCATCTTCAGTCTTGGAGAAATGCAAATTCGGGCAGCCAAAAAAGAAGCAGCTGGACTACTCTTCCTGAAGCTGTCCTTCTCCAGGACTGCCTCTGGGTGGGGGGGGGGGGGGGGGGGGGGGTGTGGCTATCCCGGATGAGCCCCCAAAATTTGTTAAAAACAGACAAATCAGAGCCGAGATAGTTTAAAATGCTTGGGCCTGTTTATTAAAAGCAAGGACAACTGAAGACGAGGCCCCAGGATAAGCTCAGGGTCTCAGTGGCAAGTCAGACTTACAGTAACTGTGTGCTACGCAGGGCACCTCCACGGATACATGTTCTGCAGAAAGACCCGGGCGCTCGGCACCCAGGGGTTTTTAAAGCCTCTGAAAGGGGCGGGATTGGTGTGCACTTGATCCTCTCGCTGACTGGTCCTTTTCCCAGTCGCTGGTTAGTCCATAGGGTGGTGCATTCCTGGCCAATCATTCTGGAACTTTGAGGCGCTATTGGCTGGTCAGTGCCTCCAGCCACAGGCTGAGCTGGTGACACCACTCCTCAATGGCACCCGTAACCCTAACCCTTTCCCTGGACTGACAGCTATGCACACACACCTAACAATACACATAACTTTGTAACTTACTACATTACTTACAACAATTCATTACATTAACTATTCATTACAACTCATTTGAAACAACCATTAGTAACCCCACCTACTAAAACAAATTTATTTCTAACACCTCGGCTCTGGGTCTGTGCCTCTGCACGTCCCTCGGCTCTGCCCGAGGCTGCTCGGATGGTGAGCGCTGCTCTGGCCTCGGGGGAGGCGTGGGCACCGGCCGGTGTCTGAGGGAGCGGCGGCAGTGAGGGACGAGGGAGGGGTGAGAGGGCAGGAAAGTAACAGTAAAGAGAAGGAAAAACAGACAGAGGTGGCGGTTTGGGCCTGGGGCAGCAGTGAGAGGAGCTCCATGACCGCGGGGGGAGCGTCCCAGGCTGGGAATGCCCAGCATGGCCGGGAATACCTGGGACAGCCAGGAATGCCCAGCATGGCTGAGGCCGGGCATGGGGCACCAGGTCCCCTGGGCAGGGATAGCACCCTCGCCATTCCCCCACCGGCCCCGAGTGCCCTCAGGGCTGGTGCCGCACCTCAGGGCGTTCTCCCGGGGCTGCTGCAGCCTCTCCCAGCTTCGGGAGCGGTCCGAGCTCCCCCAGAGCTCCGCATTGCCACTGGAGTGGCCGGAGCACCCTCGGGATCTCCCAGAATTCTTCGTGGAGCCGGGATTCCTTCCAGGGGGAACAGCGAGGAGCCCGTGTTCCGCAGGCACCACACTGGGATGCGGCGGGGGGCAGCATCCCCCGGGCCGGGGCACCGGCACAGCTCCTTGGCTTCGGTTCCAGCCCATTTCTCCAGGACCCACTGCACACCCAATTTGTGGATAAATCTTGGGGATGGCTCCTGGTCCTGGGCAGTGGGTCCAGCCTGGGGGAAAGCGGACATTCCCCCTTTGCTGAGGAAAAAGAGTGAAGTTTTTGCCCTGTGCAGAGGGAAGCAGAGGCAGGATTTTCCCCACTCATGGGAAAAATCATTCATTCCTCACCCCGAGAGGTCAGGCCTTTCCCAGGGTCCCACTGTCCTCCTCAACACCAGCAGCTTCATTTTCCAGCCTGGAGTTTGTAAACCAGTGTCCTAGTTTAGGGAAAATTTGGGAGAAAAACGTCTGGAAGGAGCCCCCAGAAAACAAACCCCCACAACCCCTCCCCCCGACCTGGTTCGGGAAGAATTTCCTCGGAGAGAAGTGGAAAAGAACCTGTTTGTTTAACAAAGAAAACACTCCACAGCACCAAAAAAAAAAAACAAAAAAAACAAAAAACAACACCAGATGACAAAAAACTCTTTTACCACTCTGAAGAATGACAAATCCAGAAAATCTCTCCTGGGAATGATCACCCGGGTCTGGGCACTGGGGATGGCTGCTGCAGATCACAAAACGCAGGCTCTCGGTGTTCCTCGGTGTTTCCCAGGTCCCAGTCTGGAGAAAGTTGGAATGATATTCAGGAAAGGGAAAGGGGAAAAAAAACCAAAACCAAACAGTCCAGGGAAAAAAATTGGACTGCTTAGCTAAACTAACTAACAAGCAAAAGCAAAGGCAAAAGAAGAAGCAAGAGCAAGCAAGCAAAGCAAGCAAGCAAAGCAAGCCAGCCAGCGCTAGCTTCTTCTAGACAACAGACCATGGGGGGAGGTGAGCTGGCTGATAACAAGACAAAACAAACCTTCACTTTCAGAGTCAGTTCTGAAAGCACAGGACATAATATCAAACATAAACAGCACACACAACTGGGGATACAAACACCATAACGTCACCCTAGGACAAGCAGTCAGGTGTGGGGAGAAGGCAGGGGAGTCACAGCAGGGCAGCTCCCACATCCCAGGGTGATGGGGTGAGGGCCTGGGAGCATCCACATGTATCCCACAGGGACAGGGGGTGTGTCCCATCAAAGAAGATCTGCTTCCAGTGCTGCCTCGGGCAGGCAGGGAAAGAACGTGCAGGTGTGTCCCCTGCACACAGCGGGGAACCCCCCTTTGAGCAGGACTAGGACATGGCTGGGACCAGCTCCTCTTCAGCAGCACATCCCGGGCAGTGGTGCCTGGCTTCATGGCAGGGGTGGGATAATGGGTTTGGGGTGGGCACGGGAACATTCTGCCCTGGCAGCTGCTGAGGGGCTTCATCTGCCACACTTGGCTGCAGAAGGCGGCTCCTGTCCTGCCATCCTGCTCTCCCAGAGAAGGGATTGGGAGGTGTGGGTACAGGACCCTTTTCCCACTGGCTGCCATGTTCTGGTGTCTCCCTCTGAGTGCCAGCATCTCCTTAGCTGCTCTTTGTCCACCTGTTCTATTCGCTGTCAAAACAACTGGAAAACCTTCCCAGTGTGTTGGGTCCAATTCAGCAGCTCCAGGTCTTAGTTCAGTTTAGCAGTTATTAATATTAACACATAAATAAAAAATAATTTTTTGTAACTTGAATGTTTCT